CAGCTTGCGATTCAACTTTTCAGGCGATAATTAAATAAAATAAAAATGCTACTGTATAATTGAGCATCAGGGTCTTCCAAGCCTAATTTCTCGCCTGTGACTTTGCTAAACGTTTGAGTCTCCACCTTGGAAGAAAATTCTGGCTGGAAGGGAGACTTTCCTCGGAACCGGGACAGCCACCAGCAACCCTCGCCCTTCGGTATGGGTATTATCGCACGGTATCCTTCTTTTACCACCAGCCATCGTCCTACGCCCTTACTCCACCCCTCCTTTCTCCCGTTTCCCCCTTGTGAAGCAACCTCCAGCCAACCCCCTCCATCCCCACAGCCGCACAATTCTGGCACTCTTGTTCTGCTTGCTGTTACTGTATTACTGACTGCTTAGTCATTATTTATCGTTGCTTCCTGCTGCTGCTGCTGCTGCCACTGCTGCAGCTGTTGTGAGAAGTGCTTCTCTTTGGCGCCTTTAGCTCTGTGGGCAGGGTTTGCGTGCTTCCGATTCGTGTCAGCAAGGATGGCGGGACTCCTGCGCTATGTGCTGCTGCTGGCCCTAGTCTTGCTTATCGTCGTTCCTTTTGCTCGCTCCGACGATGACGGATCTGATAACCGTGTGGAGTCTGATAACCCCTTGGTGGAATACGATAATCTCCTGGAATCTGATAATATCGTGGGATCCACGGAGGAGAATCACCTCCTCTCCGCGCTTCCCGCGCGCCATCCGCTGATCGGCGCGCTGCGCAGCACGGAGGAACACTTCGCGCGTTTCATCCACCGTTTCAACAAGTCGTATGCGGCGGATCTCCGCCAGTACCGCGCGCGCCTGCGCATCTTCCGCGCGAACCTCCTCCGCGCGGCGCAGATCCAGCTGCAGGACCCCTCCGCAGAGCACGGGGTGACGCCCTTCTCGGATCTCACCCCGGAAGAATTCGCTAAGACGCATCTCGGCCTGCTGCCCGTGAATTCCGCGAAATCGGCGCGCAGCTCGCTTCTGGAGAGCCTGAAAGCGGAGGGAGGGTTGGAGAGGTCGGAGCTGCCGACTGGGGATCTTCCCTCGGAGTTCGATTGGCGCGAAAAGGGAGCAGTGACGGGCGTCAAGAACCAGGTGAGAAACGTTTTCCATGAACCCGTAATGGGCGCGCAGCTCGCGGCTGGGGATTGTGTAGTGGAAGAGAGTGTAGGTCGATTACGGGTGTAGGTCGATTACGGGTGTAGGTCGATTACGGGTGTAGTAGGTCGATTACGGGTGTAGGTCGGAGTTGCCAACTGTGACCTTACCGAGCAGTTCGATTGGCGCGAGAAGGGAGCGGTGATGGGAGTCAAGAACCGGGTAAGGATATTCTGAGTCGACTCAAAAATCAGTTGGGGGGAGTATTTAATTTTAAGGCGCCTCAAAACTAAGAATCAGTTGGGGGGGAGTATTAAAAAACCTGGAGGACATGAGGGTTTTTTCTTACGTTTGCTCGTGCGGGAAGGCTATATTTCCCGCGTGTTTTTATGTTCTCTCTGCCGCAATTCCGTGTTCCAGCCCCCCAGGCCATGCGTTTGAGCGCCTATTCAGGTTTTGTTTTGAGTCGACGCCAGATACACCTGTTTCAGACCCCCCGGCCATTTGTGGGTCCGGCCACACCTATTTGTGAGGCGCCTATTTTGGTGTGTGTTGAGTCGACTCCTAGTACACATGTTTCAGCCCCCCGGGCCGTGTGTGGGTCGTGCCATGTGTGGGCCGTGCCATGTGTGGGCCGTGCCACGCCTTCAATCGCGTTGCTGAGCTTCAGAAGAAGGTGGCGCTCAACACTGAGCACACTGTTCGGGAAGCAAGGAGCACTGTTTCGGGAAGCAAGGCACACCGTTTCGGGAATTCCCTGCTCATCCCTGACTCCCTGCTTCTTTTCGTTCCCCGGATGGAATCTGATTCCCTGGCTATGCTATTCTGCTCCACCTTTTCGCAGGGCATGTGCGGCTCCTGCTATGCCTTCAGCGCCGTGGGAGCATTGGAGGGGGCGCACTATCTGGCGACGGGCGAGCTGCTCAACCTCAGCGAGCAGCAGATCGTCGACTGTGACCATAATGTGAGCTGAAATTTGTGTGTATGCCTTAATTTGTGACTGTAACAAGGGTCTGTCGTATGATATGGGAGCAAGCATGGGCTTGGTAGGTAGAGGGGGCGCACTATCTCGCGACGGGCGAGCTGCTCAGCGTCAGCGAGCAGCAGATCGTCGACTGTGACCATGACGTGAGTGGCAGGATGTGACTATAACGTGTGACGTGACTGTAGCGTGTGGTATGAGAGCAAGGATGTGAGTGTAAGATGGGGCAAAGTGCTTCATCCTTTTCCATCCACCCCTCTTCCCATACCGCCCTCCTCTCCCCCTCCTCTCCCCTCCCCTCCCCTCTCCTCCTCTCCCCTCCCCTCTCCCCCTCTCCCCCTCCCCCCCCCTCCTCTCCCCCTCCTCTTCCCCTCCCCTTCCTCTCCCCCTCCTCTCCCGCTCCCTCTCCCCCTCCCCTCCCCTCCCCTCCCCTCCCCTCCCCTCCTCTCCTCTCCCCTCCTCTCCTCTCCCCTCCTCTCCTCTCCCCTCCCCTCCTCTCCCCCCTCCTCTCCCCTCCATTCCAGTGCGATCCCAAGGAGAAGGAAGCATGCGATGCAGGCTGTGGCGGCGGGCTCACGAACGATGTGTTTCGCTACGTCCAGAAAGCAGGCGGGCTGCAGGCGGGCTGCTTGCAGAGAGTAAACAGGCTGTCTGCAGGCGGGCTGCAGGCGGGCTGCAGGCGGGCTGCAGACGGACTGTAAACACTGTTTCTCTCCCCCTTCCTCTTCCCCGCCCTCATCTCCCCTCCGCGTTTTCCATTGCAGTGTGACCCTAAAGAGAAGGAAGCATGTGATTCAGGCTGTGGCGGCGGGCTAATGAACAACGTGTTTCGCTACATTCAGAAAGCAGGCGGGCTGCAGACAGAGAAGAACAAGCGCCTCTCCCCTTTTCCTCCCTTTCCTCCCTCACCTCCTTGCTTCAGTGCGATCCCAAGGAAAAAGAGGCATGTGACTCTGGGTGCGGCGGCGGGCTCATGAACAACGTGTTTCGCTACATTCAGAAAGCAGGCGGGCTGCAGACGGAGCAGGAGTACGGGTACACCGGCAGGGAGGGGCGCTGCCAGTTCGACTCCGGGCGCGTGGCAGCACGCGTCGAGTCATTTGTGGAAGTGCCTCAGAAGGACGATCAGATGCAGGCGCATTTGGTCAAGTACGGCCCTCTGGCAGGTGAGCGTTCATCCGTGTGCATCAAACAGTATGGGTTCCTTCCAGGGAGGAACATGTACACAGGGAGGGAGGAGCGCTGCCAGTTCGACTCGGGGCAGGTGGCAGCGCGGGTGGAGTCGTTGGTTGAGGCGCCTCAGAAGGAGTCTATTTTTTAGGCGCCTCAAAAATAGACTCAAAATTTTTGAGGCGCCTCAAAAATTGCAGCGCGGGTGGAGTCGTTCGTTGAGGCGCCTCAGAAGGACGACCAGATGGAGGCGCACCTCGTGAAATACGGCTCTCTGGCAGGTGAGGGCCGGCGCATTTTCTGTCCTGCAATGGAACTGAGATGCACAGAGCTGTGTTTGTGGAATTTCCTCAGAGGGATGATCAGGTGAAGGCGCACCTGGACAAGTACTACCCTCTGGCAGGTGAACTGGCGCCTTGAATTCGGGGCGCCTTAAATCCGACTGATGCCGTGACTCAAGGGGTGCTGCTGATGGGGTACGGCTCGCACAGCTTCTCCCCCACTTCATTCCCACCGTCTCCCCTCCCCAAACACAGTTGCCCTCAACGCCAACTGGATGCAGTCATACGTGAAGGGCGTGTCCTGCCCTCTGCTCTGCAACCGCCACACGCTGAACCACGGGGTGCTCATGGTGGGGTATGGGTCGCATGGTTTCTCCCCGGCGCGGCTGTGCTACAAGGTCTACTGGGTGATCAAGGACTACAAGGACTACTGGGTCGTCGAGAACAGCTGGGGGGATGCGTGCGGCGCGGTTCCCTTGGCTTGCCACCACTGTTGATCTCCCTTTCTCCCTTCCCCCCTCCCTTCCTGCCCTCCCGCCTGCCCGCCCTTACTCCCTCCCCGAACACAGTTGCCCTCAACGCCAACTGGATGCAGTCATACGTGAAGGGCGTGTCCTGCCCTCTGCTCTGCAACCGCCACGCGCTGAACCACGGGGTGCTGATGGTGGGGTATGGGTCGCACGGCTTCTCCCCGGCGCGGCTGCGCTACAAGGACTACTGGGTGATCAAGAACAGTTGGGGCAGCAGCTGGGGCGAGCAGGGCTACTACAAGCTGTGCCGGGGGAAGGACGAGTGCGGGATTGATTCCTATGTCTCGGCTGTGGTTGCTGTCAATCCTGCTGGTGAAGGCTTGGCGACAGAGTAGGTCGTGCTGTGGGGCGAGGTGGGGGTGAGGTGAGGCAGGGGTGGGGCGAGCAGGGCTACTACAAACTGTGCCGGGGGGAGGCCGAGTGCGGGATTGATTCCTATGTCTCGGCGGTTGTTGCGGTGAAGCCTGCTTCTGCTGGAGGTGGTGTTGCTGCAGAGTAAGGAGCGGGGGGAAGGGCAGAAGAGGGAAGGGGAGAAGGGGGAAGGGCAGAAGGGGGAAGGGGAGAAAGGGGGAAGGGAGAGGGGAGAGGGGGAAAGGGAGAAAGGAGAAGGGGGAAAGGGAGAGGGGAGCTGGAGTACGCCTCGCACGGCTTCTCCCTTTCCGCGGCTGCGTTGAGAGGAGAGAGGAAGAATGACAAGACAGAGTGGTAGAAGGAGGTAGTGAGGCAAGACAAGAGCAGTGGGGGTGTTGGGGACCAGGCTTTGTGCGGTTGCTGGGAGCATTGTGAACCTGTTGAAATACGCTATTGTGCATAGTAATTTCTCTTTGTCTTCTGAGCTGACCAAGTGCAAGGAACTAATTATGGATATAGCGCTGCCTAGGGTGGTGCTTTCAAAATTGCGCCGCTGGTTGCTGCTCGGATGAAACACTTTCCCTAAGAAAGTGATGCAGGGAGAGAGCCCTCATTGGCTGCACAACCATCAACAGTCACTAAGCACGTGTCCCATCCCAAGTGCACGTTCTCTTGCAAACCTGGCCCATCCATTTCATTTTGTTATTTGATCCCTAGGATCCAGGAATCCCACCGTAATTAAACTTACACAGGTTGGGACAGGCCCTAGTTGTTGCAATTGTGATTGTTACGAAAAACATGAATCTACACTGTTACTTGTGAACAGTGAAGCATGTGAGCTTGGGGAAAAGCACCTTCAAATGAGCATGGGAGCGATCCTGCACAGGGAAATGAGGAAGCATTGGTAGCTGGTCAAAGGAGAATGTGCAACCTTGTAAAAAGAGCGAGTATGGAGGCTAGAAAAGATTCTTGTAACAAAGAATAGAAAAGTACCTTCAATTGATCATGGGTAGCTGTTTAAAGGACATGTAGCTTTAAAAGATTAGTAGGGCTAAAGAAGATGAAACAGGCGATCACAAGCACGGAGTTGTAGGTCCCTTAATAAGAATCCTTTTAAAAAACCATCTGAGGTCCCTTACAACTCCGAGGGACCCACAACTCCGAGTTAGTGACCATCTGTTTCTGTGGCTCTTTCAGAGTGCATCTCTAACAATCCCCCCATCTGCTTCACAAGCACGAGTTGCTCGATGTGGTCAATGAGTCATTGCAGGACGCCCAGGCACGGGCACAGGCACGGGCACGGGCACGGGCACGGGCACGGGCACGGGCACGGGCACGGGCACGGGCACCGCCTGAGATGTGAGACAACTACTAAGTCGTACCTCTATCCCCACACAGCCATTGACATCCAAAGTGTGCAGAGTGTTGACGCAGGAAGCAGAGAGCGCAGCCATGGACGCATCTGTGACTCCCCTTATGCCGTGCAGACTGGTGAGGGGGAAGCGGAAGGGGAAAGGGGAGGGGGAAAGGAGAGGGGGAAAGGAGAGGGGGAAAGGAGAGGCGGAAAGGAGAGGGGGAAAGGAGAGGGGAAAAAGGTAGGGGAACAGGGGATATGTGCTGCTGCAAGAAGCTTGGCGAGCAGCCATGGACGCATCTGTGACTCCCCTTATGCCGTGCAGACTGGCGAAGGGAACAGGGAGAGGAAGCGGGAGGGGGGGGGAAAGGGAAGCAGGAGTGGGGGGAAGGGAAGCGGAGAGGGGGGAAGGGGGGGAAAAGGGAAGCGGGAGGGGGGGGGAGGGAAGCGGAGAGGGGGGAGGGGGGGGAAATGGAAGCAGGGAGGGGGGGGGGGGGGGGGAAGGGAAGCAGGGAGGGGAAGCAGAGGGGAAGGCATAGCTGTTGGTTGACAAGTGCAGAGTGTTGCCACAAGAAGCAGAGAGAGCAGTCGTAGAAGAAACGGTGACTCCCCGTATGCCGTGAAAGAGACTGGCGCATGGGGAAAAAAGGGGGGGAAGAGGGGAATGTGGGGAGTGCTGTTGCTAGAAGCAGCGAGTGCACTGCACCACAAGAACGAGTAAAAAACATGAAATAGAGCAGATTAAGAAAGCGTACCTCAACAGCTTTCTTAATACCGAGGCTTCTAGCTTGATGATGAGGCAGGAAGATATTTTTGGCATAAAAAATCTTCATTTGCATGCCTTTTAATTGGATGATGCTAGTGTGATGAGGCGCATCTCAAACCATTAGAGAAGCGTACCTTAGAAGTTCGAGATAGTGGCAGGAGGATGCTACTGTGATGAGGCTCTGATCCGTTATAAGCACACACCTGGTGGGAACATGTGATATAAGGGGGAGACTTGATAAAACTACGAACGGAACAAGAACAATCATAGAAAACACATGGTAGGATTTGATGATATGTGAAGACCAAATAGAAGCAACCACTCTAACTACAAAGACTACGAATCTCATACCATATGCAACGTAACAAGAAAGGTTGAGGGATCTGAGGTGAGTGCGTGCCGCGCAAGGCCTATGGGCATGGGCAGCATACCAAGAGAGGTTGAGGAATATGAGGCGAGTGCGTGCCGCGCAAGGCCTATGGGCATGGGCAGCATACCAAGAGAGGTTGAGGGATCTGAGGTGAGTGCAGCACGCGATGCCTTGCAGTCCTTCGTCTGTCAGGTGCTGATGGCGAGAGGGGAGGTGGCAGCTCAGAGGGGAGAGGGGAGAGGGGAGATGGGAGATGGGAGATGGGAGATGGGAGAGGGGAGAGGGGAGAGGGGAGAGGCGAGAGGGGCGAGGGGAGGGGAGAGGGGAGAGGGGAGAGGGGGAGAGGGGAGAGGGGAGAGGGGAGAGGGGAGAGGGGAGAGGGGAGAGGGGGAGAGGGGAGAGGGGAGAGGGGAGATGGGAGAGGGGAGAGGGGAGAGGGGAGAGGGGAGAGGGGAGAGGGGAGATGGGAGATGGGAGAGGGGAGAGGGGAGAGGGGAGAGGGGAGAGGGGAGAGGGGAGAGGGGAGAGGGGAGAGGGGAGAGGGGAGAGGGGAGAGGGGAGAGGGGAGAGGCGAGAGGGGAGACGGGAGACGGGAGAGGGGAGAGGGGAGAGGGGAGACGGGAGAGGGGAGACGGGAGAGGGGAGACGGGAGAGGGGAGAGGGGAGACGGGAGAGGGGAGAGGGGAGAGGGGAGAGGGGAGAGGGGAGAGGGGAGAGGGGAGAGGGGAGACGGGAGACAGGAGACGGGAGAGGGGAGAGGCGAGAGGGGCGAGGGGAGAGGGGAGACGGGAGAGGGGAGAGGGGAGAGGGGAGAGGGGAGAGGGAAGACGGGAGACGGGAGAGGGGAGAGGGGAGAGGGGAGACGGGAGAGGGGAGAGGGAGAGGGGAGAGGGGAGGGGAGAGGGAAGAGGGGAGAGGGAAGAGGCGGGAGCAGTATAGAAGGTTCAGCCGCAGTAAAGGGGTATCAGCACTGCCTTATTCACACAGTAACGCCATCCGCAGAGGTGAGAGCAGCATGCGATGCCTTGCAGTCCCTTGTCCGTCAGGTGCGTATGGAGAGGGGGGAGGTGGCAGTTGACAGATGAGAGATGTGAAGTTAGGGAGAGGTGGGAGAGGTGAATACTACGGCGAGGTGAGAGATGTGATAGTAAGGAGAGACGAGAGAAATGCCAGTGGATTGGAGCGAGAGCGGTGACAGCAAGGTAAGGTAAGCAGTAGGGCGATGCTTTTAGCACACAAAACACTTAAAGCCCGTCCCACACCGTACTTTCATGCCGCAGAGGTCAAGCACCCGTACGTGTGAGAGGCGCCTGATTGTTGCAAGGGACTCGTCAGCGGGACTGTTCTACAGACGCATGCCCCATGCCTCCTCTTCTTATCGCCAACCACATGCTGTACCTTCATGCCGCAGAGGTCAAGCACCCGTAGATGTGAGAGGCGCCCGATTGTTGCAAGGGACTCGTCAGTGAAGCTGGTAGTGACACAAGGAGGCAGATAGGGAAGGGGGGAATGATAATAAAGAATGTCTAAGAGCCGGAAGTGATGTGAATCATCACTGGAGGAAGATGGGGGGGAAGGGTGATTGAGGAGGGAACGCGGGTTGGGCATAGAGCAGCTAAACCCTTGGAAGGGTAAATGTGGAGAAGGTACACTAGGGAGCTCAAAAGGTGGCATTGAGCCAAAGAGCCAAGAGTAACTGTACCTAGAGAGGGCGTACAGCAGAAGTTCCTCCAATTGAGAGCATCCTGCTGTCATGTGCTTCAGCCCCGTGTCAGTCACTGGGTTTACATTGAGTCGACTCAAAATACACCGGGGGGGGGAGGGCTGTACCTAGAGAGGGCGTACAGCAGAAGTTCCTCCAATTGAGTGCAACCTGATGTGATGTGCTTCAGCCCCGTGTCTGTTGCCTGCACACAACTGCCATGGCACATGCATGGATGGATGGATGGATGGATGGACGGACGGACGGATGGGTGGATGGATGGATGGAGGGATGGATGGATGGATGGATGGATGGATGGATGGATGGATGGATGGATGGATGGATGGATGGATGGATGGATGGATGGATGGATGGATGGATGGATGGATGGATGGATGGATGGATGGATGGGTGGGTGGGTGGGTGGGTGGGTGGGTGGGTGGGTGGGTGGGTGGGTGGGTGGGTGGGTGGGTGGTGGGTGGGTGGGTGGGTGGGTGGGTGGGTGGGTGGGTGGTGGGTGGGTGGGTGGGTGGGTGGGTGGGTGGGTGGGTGGGTGGGTGGGTGGGTGGGTGGGTGGGTGGGTGGGTGGGTGGGTGGGTGGGTGGGTGGGTGGGTGGGTGGGTGGGTGGGTGGGTGGGTGGGTGGGTGGGTGGGTGGGTGGGTGGGTGGGTGGATGGATGGATGGATGGATGGATGGATGGATGGATGGATGGATGGATGGATGGATGGATGGATGGATGGATGGATGGATGGATGGATGGATGGATGGATGGATGGATGGATGGATGGATGGATGGATGGATGGATGGATGGATGGTTGAAAATTCAAACTCCGTGTGAGGTTTAGGGGTTACGCACCGTGTGAGGTTTAGGGACTTGAGATTGGGGAGAGAGGTGCTGATGAAGCGGAGAGACGTGTCTGTGATGTTCTGCAGTGGTGGGGGACAGGGAAAAGGGCGGAACGGGGGAAGGGGGGAGGGGGGGAAGGATGGAGGAAGGGGGAAAGGGATGACGCGGAGAGCGGTACCTGTGATGTTCTGCAGTTGAAGTGAAGGGGGACGGGGAATCAGGGGAAGGGGGGAAGGGGGGAAGGGGGAAGGGGGGGCGAGGGGAGAGAAGTGTCTGCGATGTTCTGAAGTGGGGGGGAAACGGGGAAGGGGGGAGTGAGTGAGTGATTGTGAGGGTGAGTGAAGGAGTGAGCGAGTGAGTGCATGTAGCTAGAGTCACCTTGCATCCACTAAGGTTGAGTGTTTGTAACGAGGTGCATCGGAGCACCACTTGCTTCACACCTGAATCAGTCACCCTGGAGGTGGGGAAGGGGGGATAGATAGAGGCATAGAAATGAGAATGCGTGAGGAGTCTATTTTTGAGGCGCCTCAAAAATAGACTCCTCACGAGGGGGAAGGGGGGGTAGATAGAGGCAAAGCAATGAGAATGAGGGCATGGGAGACAGATGGAGTGTGAGACAGATGGGGCATGAGGGGATGGATTTCGACAACTCTTTTTAGTTGATGAAGAAACAGTGACATGGGAAGATGAGCAGATGGGGACGTGAGGAGATAAGGAGATGGAGGCATGGGCATCTGCGTGCAAAGGGGAAAGGCGCAAACAAGGGAGGACAGAGGAGAGAGGGGGAGAGGATGGGAGGGAGGGGATGGGAGGGAGGGGATGGGAGGGAGGGGATGGGAGGGAGGGGATGGAAGGGAGGGGAGGGAGGGAGGGGAGGGGAGGGAGGGGATGGGAGGGAGGGGATGGGAGGGATGGGATGGGAGGGAGGGGAGGGGAGGGGAGGGAAAATGAAGGAAATACGGGAAGAGGGTGGGTCGGGTCCCTTGTTGTTCGCCACGGCCCTGCAGCCATCGCTCCGAGCGACCGCCGCTGCCCACCCTGAGGTAGTCGTCCTTGCAGCGGTGGGCACCGCCGCTGCCCACCCTGAGGTGGCCACCGCTGAGAGCAGTGCCCACCACTGCAAGGTAGTCGTCCTTGCAGTGGTGGGCACCGCCGCTTACGCGGGCAACATCACCTCCTGGGGCCGGCCGACGCTTGCACCGCGGCCTTCAACTGCCTCATCCCCGCGAAGTGCGAAGCTTGGGGTCCACAGGCGGTGGACCCCTCAGCGATCCCGCCGGGGATCGCCACGGGCGCCGCTAGCCTCCGCGTTCTCGGCAGCCCCGTGGGACCCCCTGCTGCCTGTGCTGTCGCTATCCGCGACCGCCTCTCCGCCACGGCAGCCCCGCTGCCTCTCATCGCCGACCTCGACCCTCAGCTGGCACTCCTCCTCACACGGTGCCTCACCTGCTGAGCCAGCTACCTCCTCCGCTCAACCCCGCCTGACTCCCTCCCTGCTGAGGAGTGGGCCGGTTGGGGGGGGCGCTTCTTCCACACAGCGCTGGACGCCTGCCGCCTGCCCCTCCCCCGCGCCCGCAACGAGAAGCAGAGGGTGTGGGAGCCGGCGTCGCTCCCGACCACACTTGGGGGCCTTGGGATCTCCTCGGCACGGCACGGCATACCTCACCTCAACCGCCGCCACCGCGCACCTGCTGTGCGGACTGCTGCCCGTGCTCCCCCTTGCGGTGTCAAGCCTCCTTTCGCTCTTCGACCCTGACCCCGCAGCCGCTGCCCCACTCCCGCGCCATATTGCCGCGCTGGAGGCTGCCCTGTCGCAGCACGCAGCTGAGCTCTTCCGTGAGGAGCAGAGCGCCCCATACCCGCCCAAGATCCAGCACGCTCTTGCTCTGCACGTCTAGGCGGAGCGCTTTACTGCCCTCCTAGAGGCCACCCGCAATCTCCCTCTGAGCCCGCTCCAGGGGCACACTCAGCGCCTCCTGTTCCTCATGGGGCCGGGGGCGAGGGATTGGCTCCACGCCCTCCCGCTCTCCTCATCACTCCGCCTCTCCCCGAGGCACTTCTCCACGGCGGTTGCTGTTAGAGATAGGCTGCAATTCGGTTGGCACAACTTTGTGTGTTGGCGTTTTGTTGGTTTTAGGGATACGCATATTTGTTAGGTTGGGTGTAGCTATGTTTTCATCCCCAACCTATCCCAACCCAATCTATCCCAAATCCCCACGATTTGAGAGGATTCCCTTGGGATTCCCTTCGATTCTCCCTTATCCCTTCCCATCCTCTCCGATGCTAGATACTTAAAGATGTATGCTCTTGCTCATTCAATTAATGAAGTTCTCAGTTTCTGATATGGTATCAGCGCTCGTTTTCGCCTAAGCGGCTCTTGATCCTCTCGCTCCGTTGGAGCTTAGCATTTGCGTCTTACAACGCAAAGCTTTTCTAGCCGTCTCAACTCTGCGCGGCGCTTCTCCTCGGGCTGACGCCCGTTGCCCCGCATCTGCTCGTCGCACCTGATCGGGCTGAGCCCGTCGCCCCGCATCTGCTCGTCGCAACTGATCGGGTTGAGCCCGTCGCCCTGCACCTACTCGTCGCACCTGATCGGGCTGAGCCCGTCGCCCCGCATCTGCTCGTCGCACCTGATCGGGCTGAGCTCGTCGCCCCGCATCTGCTCGTCGAAGCTGGACGGGCTGTCGTCCGTCGCCCTTGCATCAGCAGGGGGTGCAGCGGCGAAGCGGACAAGGGAGCAGCGGCGAAGCGGAAAGGGGGCAGCGGCGAAGCGGAAAAGGGGAAGGGGGGGGTCGCGGAGCAGCGGGATTGCAGCAGCATATCGAGACTGTATAGATTTCCGGCGTTCAGATTTCCTTAATCGGCCATTCTCGCTCCCGAGTGTTGAAAATCCGCAAAGGAAAATCTAGTTTTTCGCGGAGCCCGCGCTGCGCGCAACTCGTTAGGGTCGCCGAAGTGCCTATCGGCGACTTAAGAGCTGCGTTACGCGTGGAGAAAGGGTTCTTGGAGCATCATGGCGTACCCTTCCACGTCTCTCTCGAATCTGATCACTCCCTTGCGCCTCGACCCAAATGGCTCAAGCCCTAACTTCAAGGAGTGGAGCTATGGGGTTAATAAGCATCTTCAAAGCCGCAAAATTGAGGGGATTTGCCTCAAGGATGTCCTCCTCAATCGCGACAAAGGAAAGATGCCGGTCCTTCCCAAGAAGCTCTCGGCCACGGCCACAGAGGAAGAGTCAAAGGCGCATGAGGAATCCATGTCCAAGTATGAGGAATCTCACAGCATGTGGGAGCAAGCCGACGCCGCTATCATTGGCGTCTTCGTCAGCACTACCCCTTCCGAGCTCGTCAAAACTTACCATGACTACCCCTCCGCGCACGCCATTTGGGAGTACCTCAACGACCTCTTCCTCAACAAAACCGCTGTGGGGGTGGCGATCCTCATCCCCCGCATGTTTCAAGTGCGTCTGGAGGAGTGCCCTGCAATGGCAGATTACGTCGCTGAGATTCAAGGGATTCATCAGGAGCTGAAGCAACTCGGCATTGTCTTCCTTGAGCAAGCCCCTGCAGCAGCTCTGCTTGTCGGACTGACCCCCTCTTACAATGTCACCGGCTCCATGCTTCTCCATCTCCTGCCAGAAGAGCTAACCTTTGCCAAAGTCTCTTCCACACTTCTCTCTGCTGAAAAAGACAACACTGCGCAGGCTCGTGCAAATGCGCTTCGCACTCCTGTCCCGGCTCCAGCATCGCGTCCCAATCCGCCACCCACTCGTAACCGCTACCCACCCTGTCCTTACGTCATCAAGATGGGACCCTGTGCGGGTCAGGTGTGCAACAACACCAATCACCCGCTCGCCACCTGCTTCAAGAAGAAGGACGACGACTGGTTCGCCAAGAATGGTATTAACTCCAAGCCGCCAAACTGGCTTCGCATGCGCCAGCTCAACCATGTTGAGGCACAGGATAGTCAGGACTCAGTCATTCATGCCCCTACTCCTCATGTTCGTCTCAACCTGTTGTTCCCTGGCCTTCCCATGATCAATGAAACCAGTTTCCAGTACTCGGCGTCTCCACAAACACCATCTAAACCACTTGAATTCGTCCTGGACAGCGGCGCGACCCACACAGTCCTCCGAGACAAAGAGTCATTCAAACCATACCAAGCACCCATTCCTCTCCTGGGCGCTGACTCCAGCTTCACAACTGTCGCCCATGGTTCCTCCACTCTTCAATGCCCAACCTTCCCATCAGTCACAGTCACTGGCATACGCGTGCCCACTCTTCGGCACAACCTACTTGCACAACATGAGATTCAACGAGCAAGGGTAACCACTATCTTCCCAGCTCATTCTAATCATTGTGATCTCCTTGAGCCCACCAACAATGCCCTCCTTGCACGCTTCACACTGACCGCCAACAACCTTTACACACTCCATGTACCTCATTCTTCTGCTGAAGCACACTCTACCTCCACCACATCATCGTGCTCCTGCCGCCAGCTCACTGACCCAACCATTCTTTACCACCATCGTCTCGGGCATCCCAACTTCCGCATGCTCTCCGAGCTTGCGTCCAAGAAGTTGCTTCTTCACCTGCCCGACACTTCCGCCACCCTCCACTTCTCCCGCTCCTCCATGCTTAGACTGCGCGCAAAGCAAACAACGCCAGCTGCCTCACCCTTCCTCGCCCTCTCATGCAGCCGCCCCGCTTGAGCTCGTCCACCTGGACGTCTGGGGCCCGGCTCCAATTCGTTCTCGTGGTGGGCACTCTTACTTCCTAGTGCTCGTTGACGATCACTCTCGCTATGCATCCGTCCACCTACTCTCCTCCAAAGCAGCTGTTCCAGATGTCGTCATCGCATGGGTTCGATAAGCCCAAAATCATTTCCGCACATCAGTCAAGTGCATCCATTCCCATGGCGGTGGCGAATTTCGAAATCATTCCCTTCAAGCGTTCTGTGCCTCCCAAGGCCTTCGCCAGACCTTCACCCTTCCCCACAGTCCGCAACAGAATGGCACTGCCGAAAGTCGCAATCGCACTCTCGTGCAAATCGCTCGCTGTCTTCTCACTCACGCTGGTGCACCACCTTCCCTTTGGAGTTACGCCCTCCTCCATGCCACTCTGCTGTACAACCTTCACCCTCACCCTCTTCGGCCTGACATCACTCCCGCCGAACTATGGACCGGCACCAAGCCCAGTGCACATCCTCTCCGCGTATGGGGGTGTACCGCTTATGTCCTCCTCAACCCTCAGGAACGTCGCACCTATGGCGGCAAATTTGCACAAAAAACTCAACCCTGTGTCTACCTCGGCCACATCCTCGACTCTCCCGCCTACCTTTTCCTCAATCCCTCCACCAATCAGCTCATTCGCAGCCGCGATGTCGCCTTTGATGAGAGTCGCCCTTTTTACCTCACTTCACCACCCCCCACCGCTCCACCTTCGCTTCTGTGGGCCGATTTCGATACTTCACCCTCTTCACCTCCTCCCTCTGCCGCTTCTCCTACGGCCCCCTCACTCTCGCCTCCCCCATCGCCTTCCACTCTCTCTCACCCCCCTTCGCCCACTGGCTCAGCTGCCCGTTCACCTCCGCCAGCGCCTGCACTTCCCCCTGCACCCGTTCCTGCAGCTGCCCCTCCACCTCCCTCTCCTTCTGCGCCTCCCCCTGCCCCCGCACCTCCATCCCCGCCGTCACCTCCGCTTCCGCCTCCGACCTCCACCTCTTCTCCCGATTCGCCCTTCACCTATCGTCGCCGCCGCCACGGACGCTCTTATGTCGACGTTCCACCTCCTCCCCCGCCACCTCCCTCCTCTCCTGTCCCTATTGCTCACTGCACCCGCTCTCATGGTCCCGCTCCGCCTCTCGCCCTCTCTGTTCGCATCTCCCTCAATCCGCCTCCTCCTGCCGGGGTAATCCATGCCTGGCTTCTTGGAGGATAGGCATGAGGAGCTGATTGAGATCAATGCTGCCATCCGTCAGCTCTGCCATCTCTTCCCCCATCTTGCCGACGCTCCACCTCTTAACTTCTCAGAAAATCCATCCATCCCGACCCCGAACTCGTATAATGAAGCCATCTCTGGACCACACTCCCCTCAGTGGCTTGCACCCATGATCGCGGAGTGTGAAGCATTCATTCGCAACTACTCTTTCACGGACATCTCTCCTCCGCAAGGAGTTAACATTGTCCATGGCAAACGGGTTTTTCGCGTCAAGCAGCTGCCTGGCGAACTCCCAGTCTTCAAGGCGCGATACTGTGCAAAAGGCTTCACGAAGAAGAAGGGCCTGGAGTTCTTCGACACATTCTCTCCGACAGCCAAACTGCCTACACTACGGACCCTGCTGGACATCGCTGCTCAATGCAACTTCGACGTTCACTCCATGGACGTCTCTGCTGCATTTCTCCAGGGGGATCTTCCCGAGGACATCTACATGGAACGTCCTCAAGGATTTCCCTTACCCTTTCCACCCGGCACGGTCTGGAAGCTGAATCGACCAGTCTACGGGTTGAAGCAGGCTCCTCGGGAATGGCACAAGAAACTGAAGGCAACCCTCAACTCACTCGACTTCCACCCCTCCTCAGCCGATCCGAGTCTCTTCATTCGCAAGAACGAGAACCGGTTCTTCATTCTCGTCTACGTTGACAATATGATTCTCGTCTCCAAGGACTCCGATCAGTTGGCAGTTGTTAAGCAAGCTCTTAGGGATGCTCTCGCCATGAAGGACCTCGGGGAACTCAAGAACTACCTTGGGATGGAAATCTCGCGGGATCACAAAGCTCGCACCATCACTCTCTCTCACGAGTTCTATGGGAACAACGTCCTCAAGCGTTTTGCCATGGACAACGCCAAGCCAGTGGCCCCTCCCCTTCCCTTGCAGCATGGTCTGACTGCTCCATCAGTTCCATCGCCTGAACCTTGTGATGAGGCATACCCCGAGCTCGTCGTATCACTCATGTATGAGATGATGTGCACAAGGCCCGACCTCGCCTACCCCATCAATCTTGCGTTACGTTGCTGCCGGTCGATACACCAATCGCCACTGGTCGGCTGCTAAGCGCGTCCTTCGCTACCTCCAAGCCACCAAGGACTACGTCCTCACTCTCGGTGGCACGACCCCTCCTCACCTCGAGGGATACAGCGACTCCTCATGGGCTGATGATCAAGCTGACCGCCGCTCTTCCCAAGGCTATTGCTTCGCCCTTGGCAGTGGTGTCATCAGCTGGCGATCTACACGCTCATCATCCGTTTCATTGTCATCCTGCGAAGCTGAGCTATACGCAGGCACCATGGCAGCCCAAGAAGCTCGATGGCTTACCTACCTCATGGCTTAGCTCGGGTATCCTCAGCAGACCCCGACTCTGTGGTGTGATAACAAGAGCACCATCCACCTCACCAAAGACCCTGTCTTCCACCAACGAACTAAGCATATCGGATTGAGACACTTCTTCATGCGCGAGCTCGTCCAGCGAGGGCAGTTGTGCGTCAAGCATATTTCCTCTGACTGCAACATCGCCGACTTGTTTACGAAGGCTCTTGGAAGCCGTGATCACTATCGTCTCCTCCGTACCATGGGACTTGGCGTCCCTACGACTTCCGACGTTGCAGCCTAGGGGGTGTGTTAGAGATAGGCTGCAATTCGGTTGGCACAACTTTGTGTGTTGGCACTTTGTTGGTTTTAGGGATACGCATATTTGTTAGGTTGGGTGTAGCTATGTTTTCATCCCCAACTTATCCCAACCCAATCTATCCCAAATCCCCACGATTTGGGAGGATTCCCTTGGGATTCCCTTCGATTCTCCCTTATCCCTTCCCATCCTCTCCGATGCTAGATACTTAAGAATGTATGCTCTTGCTCATTCAATTAATGAAGTTCTCAGTTTCTGATAGTTGCGTTCCGCCTGGGGCTCCCCCACGCCACCCCTGGCCGTTGTGACAGCCGTGAGCAAATCGAAATCCTGGACCCACGCTTGTCCAACCACCTCCTCAGGTGCCACCAAGGCCCAGGTCGCACGGCCACTCATCACGGGCTGCAGGACGAGTGTGCAAAGATCGCGGTGGAGGCGGGGTTCATCACCCCCATGGAAACAAACCTGGTGACTTTTGAGTCGACTCAAAAGTCACCTCGAGTGCGCTAAGATCGCGGTGGAGGCGGGGTTCTTCACCCGCATGGAAACAAACCTCTTCACCCGTGTCGCGAACCTCAGGCCTGACGTCGCCATCTGGCATCCAGATACGGGTGCGGTTTGGCTCTGTGACGTCACCGTGACAGACCCGATCTCACAGGACGACGAGTTTGCTGGGCGGGGCAGTGGATGGGCCGTCAGGAATGCCGTCAGGGGGGAGGAGAACAAGTACCGCCCACCAGCACGGCCGGAGTGGGTCGGTTTCTTTGCTTTGGCAGCAGAGACCTATGGATTCAAGTTTTGAGGCGCCTCAAAACCCAACGGCACGGCCGGAGTGGGTCGGTTTCTTTGCTTTGGCAGCAAAGACCTATGGATTCAAGTTTTGTGGCGCCTCAAAACCCACCGGCACGGATGGAGTGGGTCGGTTTCTTTGCTTTGGCAGCAGAAACCTATGGATTCACCTCCCCTGGTGTCTTCCAATTCCCCGGAAGTGCGCCGAGCTCGCGGCGAAGAGGCGCCTCGGGGCTGCCCCCGACTCTAGGGAGGCGGCCAAGCTGTTCCATGAGTGCCGCCAGCGCGGCGGGTGCTCGGTGACTCTCCAGTGCGGGGATGCCATGGCCCTCAATACCAAGTCCAACGTGGCCCTCAATACCAAGTCCAACGTGGCCCTCGCCGCGAAGGAGTGGCCCCTGGGCGATGCTGCTGACCCACTCCCCGTGGGGGACCTTCTCCATGTCATGGAGCCTATTTTTGAGGCGCCTCAAAAATTGACCCACTCCCCGTGGGGGACCTTCTATACGTCTTGGAGCTGGCGTTCAGGGAATCCTAGGGACCTCAGCTCGTACCTTAGGACTGTCTTGTGCTTGCCTTGTCCGTGCTTACCTTACATTGCCTGTACCCCTTCCTATCTAATACAAAGGACGAATTGAAAGAGAGGAGGAGGGAGAGGAAACACGCCTGACGTTCTTATGGAGTGAGAAGGACTGGAGGTTTGGGAGCAGCAGTAGTGGCTATTGCGTGGCTAGACATACGTGGTCTACAAAGGGAGAGGAAACGCGCCTAAGGTTCCCATAGAGAAAGAAGGACTGAGGTATGGGAGCAGTTAAGCACTAATGCATGCCGGATACGTGCCTAGTACATGCCGGATACGTGCCTAGTGCATGCATTATATGTGAGGAGGGAGAAGAAACGCACCTGAGGTTCCAATAGAGAGAAAAGGATTGGAGTTTCGGGAGCAGTTTAGCAGCAGTGGTGACCCCTTGGTCCGTGACTTGCTGACACGCGTTGAGATTCAGAGACACGAGGGGCTGAGAAAAGGGGGGGGAGAGGGGTTTTGGGTTGGGGCGGGACGTCACGAGTGAAAAAAAGGGACAGTGTTTGGGAGAAGTGTCAATTATCTGAAGTGTTGGTATGCTGACGCATCACTAGCATCTCCCTTTTTAACGAAGCCCTAAGCCCTGGACTCCTCACACCCCCCACACACACCTTTCCTTCCAGCAGCAGCAGATCGGCGTCTGTGATTGGCTGCGAGTCGGCTCAAAAGAATTGGACCTAATCAATAGAATCACAACTAGAACCTACCGCCACAACATCCACCACCACACCACCCCCCCCCACACACCTTCCCTGCAAGCAGCAGCAGATCGGCGTCTGTGATTGGCTGTGCGAACTCCAGATTCAGATGCTGAAGGTGACTAAAACGAGGCTGGGAAAAGGGTCGAGGGGAATCAGGTATGGGGTGACATCAGGGGGGGGACTATAACGATGCTGGGAGAAGACAGAGGGGGAGGGAACGAACTCAAGAAAAAGGAGTAAGGGGGGAGAGAAGTGGGGGGGGGGGATAAGGTACTGAGTGGGAATGAAACCGACCCTGAAAACCTGAATCCCGTTCCCCCCCCCTTCCGGGTTCCGCCCCTTCCCCCCTGTGCGCCCTTTCGTGGGCTTCTGTGCGCGCACCTGAGCGAGCGTCTGGGCGAGCTTGGCACTGGCGCTAGTGCCGCCCCTAAACCCTTACCCGCTCCCCCACCCACCTCCCCTCCCCCGTCCCCTCCCCTCCGTCCCCTTCCCCCCTGTGCGCCCGTTCCTGGGCCCCTATGCGCGCACCTGAGTGAGCGCCTGGGCGAGCCTGGCCCTGGCGCTAGTGGCACCCTGCAGGGAAAGAGACTGCAGCGGAAGCGGGGGTGGGGAGGGGGGGGAGTGCGGGAGGGGATTGCGCAGTGGGGGGTATACACAAGAGACCCTGAGGTATTAAGGCTTAAAGCCCGAATCTCACAATTACAACTGTAAAGCGTTTGGTACCCAGTTACGTGGGCGAAAGTAGAGGGAAAGGCTGGGAAAAACGACTTCCAGAGCAACGGAAGGCCGGGGGGGAAGCAAGCGTAAAACTGACAGCAGAAATATGAGACTGCACGAACATTGGGAAAACCGCTGGAAGGCTGATCTGACGGGTAAGGAGGTTTGTAAATCGAATCTACGGCCGTTACCGAAGTTGAAAGTGAGGGTGAACAAATTTGGATTCCAGGCCGTCGGATCTGCGAGGCTGCACGAAATTGGTTGGGAAGTTTGTCCCGAGCCAAGTTCTCGGTTAGGTTATTTTGTCGCGACAAACAAGCATCGCCACCTGCGCTTTCGTTATCGTCCGGTTTATCTGCCTCGCCCACCAATCACATTCTGCCTTTCCCAACCAAGCGTAAAATTCTCGTTATTATGACACGCGGGCTGAGCCCGGCGAGGAAGAGGAAGGCAACGAAAGAAGAGGAACGGCGGGGCCGGCGGGGCCGGCGGAGACGGCGGGGCCGGCGGGGCCGGCGGGGACGGCGGGTCGCCTGAAAGAGGATGGAGGAACAAGCCGAGGCGCCGTCTCGGTTCCATCTCTGACCGGTTCAGAAATCGGTCCTCGTGGCAGGAGTCTATTTTTTAGGCGCCTCAAAAATAGACTCCTCTGACCAGTTCAGAAATCGGTCCTCATGGCAGGAGGTAACTCACCCCTTACTACGTAGGTGACCTTTGAGTCGACTCAACAGTTACTACCACTGGTCTATATTCGAGATAAGGGGCGAGTTATCTCCGGTCAAGATGACAGATGATCAGGTTTTTGCGAAGAAAATCCGGGCGATAAGCTAACGGAAAATCTGGGTAATCCACCCGGTCGTACCTTCCACAGCTCGGGCTGATAAGCTGCGGTTCTTAGTTCCCTACTCACGCACGCCGCGGCGCATAGGTCGCGCTGCGGCAGCCATGGAAGCACGCATCGTAGCGCGTCGATTTCCCGATGTGACTGTAACGAGCCCCGCTCGACGTGAGCTTGCGAGAGGGAGGATTGGGAGCCGCTCTGGTGCAATTGCGCGTCCATATCGAACACCCCGCTAAGGAGCAGACTCGAAACAAGATAAAGTGAGTGAGCACGCAATCCGCAGGTAAAATCCCGTCGCGATCCGGGAATCGTGGCGTAAGTCGTGGCGACTATGGCAACAACGATGTAGCTGTGGCATGGCGACTCGTGTGAAATGTGTACCTGGCAAGAAGAATATTCGATGTGCGTTTAACTGCATAAAGAAATGTCTATCGTAAGCACAGTTTTATTTGGACAATTGGCGGGTGATGGTGTAACTACTGTATTACTCAACCTTTGTGTAATGCGCAGTAAAGAAGTTTGCTTACTGGGCTGCATTTGGCCATGTTGTTTTGAGGCGGCATTGGCCGTGCATTTTTTGACTCTCTTCCATCTGTCCTTCCGTGGCTACCTACTTTCGTATTGCTGCACCAGACTTACCCAGGCAGCTGGGAAAAATGCTGCAAGCCCTTCATCTGGACCAGGCGTGTTGTTTGGTCTGTACAGCATAAACCCATCTATCACCTATTTTTCCGGAAAAGAATCATCAGTGCTGTTGCACACCTTTCCGGCCATCCCGCATGATTTTAGAGCGGTGGTACTTTCCGACCAGACCGATTTAATCGACTTTGACAAGGCTGCGCCGTGGGTGGGGGGAGGTGGGGGGGAGTGTCGAGGGAGGGGTGGGGGGCAATGTGGGGTAGGAGGGTAAATTTGGGGAGGGGACAGGGTGGGTACATCTGGGAAATATCCCTGGGAGAGTGAAACTTCAGTACAGTAAATGGATTGAGGACACGCCACTGTGATTCGATCATGCTGACCACGAAAGGCGGTCCGTGTTCCGTAGTGAATGCACGTTTGAGAGAGCACTGTACGCAATGCTATACTGTTCCACGTGATGAGCATGAACCACGGCGGAGGAAGCAATTTTATGCGACAGAAAAAGGCCAAATGACGAAAGACGACAAACTTTGGCTTGATTGTTGATGTATGTAGAAGTTTTAACTTTCCCGAATTCCCAGCCTCAATTGGCCCCACTCGTGCTTACTGACCACGTCGGGGCACCCGCGTTGCGTAGCTGTAAGTTCCAGCCGAGAAATACGGTTCTCGCGGGTGTCTGGCGAACAAAGCCGAAGGGAAAGGAATTGGGTGAGTAGAAGAAGATTAGATGGAAACTACAGAACCGGAGTGAAAGAACATCGAGGAGCGTGTCCAAAGTGCTATTTGTCATCCGCTGTGTCATCCAACGGAGAACAGCGGATGCCAGGCTGTTATCCGTGGGATGACAGGTTTGTCATCACCAGATGACAGCAACTGTGAAAATGCACTTGGGCCAGTCCGTAACAGTGTCACATGTGCCATTTGCGGGCGGCTAAGGGCAGACAATTCGAAATTCAAAATTGTGATTCATAAGTGTTACGCCTTCGCCTGTCAGACCTCGCCATTTTCGTCAACCCCGCAACAGGGAGCTGAATCTGGCACAGGCGGGTTTCTCGCATGTTTTTGCGAGTTTCAAGAATTGTACATCGCTGTATTTCGCAACGAGTGATTTCGTGCGTCTGGCGCTAAAATTGACAGTAGGTTTAGGCGTGCACTGTCCCGTTATCCTGCCCGATCATACTGTTCCGGTTTTTTTACTATGGGGTGTCGTCCGCATGCCATCCGGTCAGCCAGGGTCCCTGCACAGAACTTTGGATGCGCCAAAACGGCTTGGCACCCCCAACCCGTTCTGTCATCCGCTCTCATCCGCAAGTATGACACTTTGGACACGCTGTCAGCCCCACCCCCCCCCCCCCCCCCCCCCCCCCCCCCCCCCGAATCCCAAACACGCTATCTTCGTGGAGGGTTGCGCTTATTGGTTGTTTTGAAAAAACATTCCAGAACCCATCTGACCGAGGAGCAGTTCAAGCTACTGTGGCCGACTGAGCTGGTTCAAGGGGGGCAGCACGACTCAATTCACTCCAACTTTCCTGAATGGTAACCCTGCCTAAGAGGAACGTTGGAAATAACGTCCCTGCCTTCCACTTTCAAGTTTGAGGCGCACGTGACAGTGCTACAATCATGGGTAGGTCGTCATGAAGTCTTACAATAATCTGAGGTGATCGTGACTGAGAAATTCGACCATGCTGACTGGGGTTTTCAAGGCTCATTCATCCGGCGGCATTCAGAGATTCGGCAAACCAAACCTATTAAAATCTGGAATTGGGGTCACACACAGCCCTTAATTTCTCAGAAGTCAGGGTAGCTACTCTCAGGGTCAGTCAGCCATGCCGACAAGTTTGGGCTGGTGAAGTTTACAGTACGGCACTGAGTGTCAATTTCTACGTCAATTCGGCACGTGTCATCGTTCAGCCGACGCGGAGGATCTTCGATCGCTCGGCTTTCGCTGATTCACGTCGCCTCGTCGAACAGACGTGGAACATTAGTACTGTTATCTATTTCCTGCAGCAGCAGAAGTTTGACATGTAGCACATTTTTCCACCAAGCACCGTCTCCCTCTGACTTCCAGCTGCACGGTCCTTCAGAGATATCCCGCATTTCACAGGTATTCTAGCAACGTTCAATCAGCTGCGGCGAACATGAACGGAATATGCAGATCAGGTTACTCGCGCAATTTTACCAAGGCCTTCTACTAGAAGACTAAGCTCTCCTTTGGGAGCACACTCGGTCAAACCTTGAAGTTCCAAATCGAGTACGACTGCTCTTGATAGTAGAGGTAGAAGTCGATACATTCTCGCGAAGATGGCGCTTACGCCGCCAGTTGAGTCGTCAGACGCCGGCCAGCCGCAGTCGGCTTTCGAAACGGCCGACTCCAATGGCTCTGAAATCGACGAGCCGCAGCTGATTCTGCGGAAAATGGCGCTGATGAATCTCGTGGCGGCGGACGGATACCACTGGCTGAAATACGGAGAGAAAGTACTTTCAAAAATCGGCGACCCAGTTTCAGTGAGAAGGTAAATCGACGAGTGTGGGAAACTAAGCGAGTCTAGGATTCCTGCGCTAATAATTGTCAAACGGGCCCCTTGGTAGTAGCAGAATTAGATCCGTTTGACGATTCCGCGAGTCCGCAGACCACGGCCGATCCTTCGCGAATCGCGATCAGTCTGATGGTTCGTGCACCCATTGCGCGGGTTACCACGTTATGTACGAAACGATTGTCGCCTCAGTCCTGGAAATTCCAGGCTACCGAATGTTCACGAGCCCCGCTGCGGCTCGCCTACTTTTGCTTGAAGCCATTCAACCAGCCTCGCGCGAGCAAAACGTGATCTAACAACATTATGAGGGCCTCCAAACAGGACATTTTACCTGAATACTGTTCTCATAGTACACCACTATCAATATATATACACTTTGATGATATCCGATATTGCAATAGGTATCATATGAATTTATATAGGGATTCATAGATGTATAGTCATACATGTGTATGCATGCACTGAATAGAATGTATGCACTTAGAAATATATAGAACATCATATATATATGGAATCATTGCTGCTCTTCTTCCAACTCCTTCACCGTTTCCTCTCCCATAACAGCATAATTCCCCGGACTTATCTCCCCGTCAAACAGGGATTACACGTGTGGAGAATCCAGTGGAGAGAAATGAAGAGCCGGCTTTTGGTGCCCAACGCACAAAGTGGTCGATGTGGATACTTCCCTCCTTCGATGTGCCGCTTGCTCGGGCCTACAACCACTCATAGTTCCTTCACACTCACCTCTTTCCCCCCTCAACAGGGCGTACTACCAAGTGTGGAGAGGCTCGTGGGGCGAAGGGCCAAAGCCGGCTTTAGGTGCCCAGCCGGCTTTAGGTGCCCAGCCCGCTGAAGTAGTGGAAACGATGCATCTCTGCCCTCCGAGCGCCGCCTTGGCTCGGGTGACTTACAGCCGCTCACTGTTCTCTGCACAATCTCTTTCCCTTCTATTGTAACAGGGCGTAATACAAGTGTGGAGAGGCCAGTGGGGAGAAGGGGAGAGCCGGCTCCGCTGCCCGACCCTCCGCCCTTCGACGCGTCATTGGCTTGGGTTACATACACCCACTTACTGTTCTCTGCTCACCTCTTTCCCCCTCTATTGTAACAGAGCGTAATACAAGTGTGGGGAGGCCAGTGGCGATAAGGGGAGAGCCGGCTTCCGGTGTCCAGCGCGTAAGGTGGTTAATATAGATCCCTCTCTACCTTTCGACGCTTCCATGGCCGGGGTCACCTACAGCGACGCACTGTTCTCTCCACCTCTTCCCCCCCAACAGGGCATACTACAAGTGTGGAGAGGCCAGTGGGGAGAAAGGGAGAGCCGGCTTCCGGTGCCCAGCACGTAAGGTGGTGGACGTGGACCCTTCTCTACCATTCGACGCCGCTTTGGCTCGGGTCACCTACAGCCACTCGCACAACCACCCGCCGCCATCCTCACTCACCGGCCGGCTCCGGCTAAGAGCAGGGGTGCTCGCCGAGCCTCATGCCGCCGAGCCTGATGGTTCCAAGCCTCCTGGTGCCGAACCTGCTGGTGGTGGTACGGAGGAGGAGATGGGAATAGAGGAGGTAGGGGAAGCTGGCCACAGTGGTTCTGCCTCTGGTGCTTCGGCCGGCGTTAGTGCTGCTGTGGGTGTTGGTACTGCGGCCGACAGTAGAGGTACTGCTGGTGTTGGTGCTGCTGCTGGCAGTGGCGCTTTTGAGCTGCGTCAGAGGACACAAGGGGCTTTGAGCCTTCAGCAGCAGTTGCAACAGCTGCAGGAGAAGCAGAAGCAGCAGCACCAGCAGCATCAGCATCAGCACGAGCAGCAGATGCAGCCGCCGCAGCAGCTGCAGCTGAAACAGCAACAGCAGCAACATCAACACCACCACCAGCAGCACCAGCAGCAGCACCAGCAGCAACACCAGCAGCAGCAGCAGCACCACCACCACCACCAACAGCAACAGCAGCAGCAAACGCAGCAGCAACAGCAGAAGCAGCAGCTTCTCTCTCTTCTACTGGCGTCCCTCCAACAGGGAAAGAACTCAGCTTCTGGTACACCGCCCAGCGCTGCTGCTGCTGCTGCCGCTGCTGCTGGTGGTGCTGGTGCTGCTGCTGCTGCTGCACCCCTCACTGCTGCTGCCGCACCCCTCACAGCCGCACCACCCAGAGCTGATGCGACACCCCCCGCACCTGTCGCGACCTCGGCTGCTGCAGCCGCAGCTACAGCCGGCGCCACTTTCACTCTGACTGCTACAAACGCTATCACCACTGACGTCCATGGCGGCAGCAGCAGCAGCAGCAGCAGCAGCGCCAGCGCCAATGCCTCTCAACCCTCTAGCTCTCCAGTGGCCCCGCCTGCATGGGTGCTCTCGCTGCTTCAGGCCTCCTCTGCTACAGCTGCTGCTGCTGGTGCTGCTGCTGCTGCTGCTGGTGCTGCTGGTTCTTCTGGTGCTGGTGCTTCTGCTGCTGCTGCTGCTGCTGCTGCTGCTGGTGCTGTTGCTGCTGATGGCGCTGGCACTGCTTCTGCTGCTGGTTTTACATCTCTTACGGTGCCTCATGCTGCGCCATTTGCAGAAACAAACGACCTACACACAGCAAAGCTCCCTCCCTCCACAGTCACACCCAATACAATCGCATCGCCAAGTGTCACACCCTCTACTGTCCCCCCGTGGACTATCACACCATCGATGGCAGCGGCGCTGCTGCTGAAAATGTCCCAAGCTAACGGCCAATCATGCGATCCGCTGATGTCACTCGTGCCGCCCGCTTTCTGGACCCCCATGGCAGATTATCTCGCAGCTGCTGGGAAGCTTCCAAAATGCGTCGGCCCGCTGGGTTTGGCTGTTGGCCACGTGGCAGCCATGTCAGCAGGCTTATCCGCCATGTCAGAGAGCGGGACAGGGAGAGGAGCAGCAGGAGCAGCAGGAGCAGCAGGAGCAGCAGGAGCAGAAGGAGCAGGAAGGGGCGATGCTACATTTACAGCAGCAGCAGCAGCGGCCCACCCAGCAGCCACAGGAGCAGCAGCACCATTAGCAGCAGCAGTGTTGCCAGCAGTGATAGCAGCGGCTAAGTCCCTGGTAGCTGAAGCAGAGGCAGCAGCAGCAGGGCTCGTTGCAGAAGCACTCAGAGCGTTAGAGAAGGGACAAGCTGCCTCTGCCCCTCCCCCTGCTGCTGCTAATGCTGCTTCTAGTGGGCCTTCTGCTTCTGCACCTAGTGCAACGCAGCAAGCAGCATGGCAGCCCATACTCGCAGCACATGTGGCACCACAGCAGCCCTCACAGGCGGCTGACGTGGCAATGGCAGAAACGGCAGACGCTACTGCGAGCTTGGACACCCACATAAGTCCTGCGGGCTTGGACGCTACTGCAGGTTCCAAAATGAGTTGCGGGCAGCAAGCAGGGGGGAGGAGACGGAGCATGAGCCAACTGGACATCCCCACGCGCAGCAGCAGCAACCCCTTTGCGACGCACAGCACCACTCATGCCTCGCCATCTCGGGTCCTTGTGGATTCTCGAAGCAGTCATCGCTGCGTGCCGTCCTCCTCCCCTCTCTCCTCGCGGGGGAGGCTGCCTGACGGGTCCCCTGGGACCCGTCCCATGCACCAAACGGGCTTCAGCAGCCAATACCAGCAGCAACAGCACCACCACCACCAATATCACCAGCAGCAGCATCAGCAGCAGCAACAGCAGCATCGCCAGGGTTCGTCCTCCTTCCGCCCTGTGTCTCCCCTCCCTCCAAGACCCGTCTCCCCCCTCGCCAGCCCACCTCTCTCCTTGTCACTCTCCCTCCTCCCCTCACCACCCTCCAAGGCGAGGAGGGGCGACACCGAATCTTCCTCCTCCCCATCTCCCATAGGCTCTCACACACACTCAACCACTCCTACACACTCTGCCACCCCTACAGTGTCAAATACACCTACACAGACAGCCACCCCCACACAGTCAACAACCCCTACCCAGTCGACTACACCTACGCAGACTACCCTTGCTCATACCACCCCGACCACTCCTACAGGTGTTGGTTCAACTCTGGGTATAAGCCTATCGCTGTCACCAGACGCAGCAGCAGCAGCAGCAGCAGCAGCGGGAGGGGGAGCAGGAGGAGGAGGGGGAGCAGGAGGAGGAGGGGGAGGAGGAGGAGGAGGGGGAGCAGGAGGGGGAGCAGGAGGGGGAGCAGGAGGGGGAGCAGGAGGAGGAGCAGGAGGAGGAGGGGGTACATTGGCAGTAGCAGCTGGTGCAAGCGGAGCGTCGGCAGCATCAGGGGATGCCAAAACCGCAGGGGCAAGCAACAACAACAGCAGTGCAAGGGCCCTCGAACGAACCCTCTCTTTGGGCGATGGAACAACTGCTTTCAGCCGCCTGGCTCTCAGTGGAAACGACTCAGCGAGGCGAAAGAGCATCATCCCACGCAACTCCTCCTCCTCCTCCCTCTCCACTCACTTCCTCTCCTCAAACTCTCACCAACCGAATAACATTTTCACCCAGTCTCTTCCCAACCACTTTCTTCGACGCAGTGCAGGTTCGCCTGCTAAGAAGCGGAAGAGCGTGGATGGGAGTGCCATGGATTCTATGGATTGCTTTCGGATGCCTGGAAATGCGACTGAGGCTGGAATGGAGTGCTCTTTTTTGGGCATGTCCCTAGCGAGCTTCTGTGGCGGTGATTTGAATTCTTCCGCAGTTTCTGCACAATGTTTGCAGCATGACGAAAGGCGTAAGGGGCATGTGAAAGAAGAAGAGTGCACAGTGCATGCTCCCATGGAAGGTATAGATTTGGCACTTAGTTTAGGATAAATGAAATATTTTCCGTTCCCTCTGGCTTTTGACATGAATAATGCGAGGCACTTATATAATTGGTGTATCATTCAACATTAGCATAATCATGGAGATTGAACTGAATATGAGTTCAGACAATAATTTTACGCGCTTATCGAACGACCCTTGTATCTGACCTTCAGTCGTGGGCGCCGTCGTCCGCCCTGTCGGCAATCGTCGCCTCGCTCCCAAACGTTGGTTGGGGCCTCGCACCCAATCGCAAGCGGTGTTTGGCGCATATTTAGGCCGTTGTTAATTCGCGAAAGGGAAACGGGTCAGTTTTTCGAGGGCTGATCCCGCCAAAATCTGCTGGTCGTGTCGCTGCGTCTGGTCGTTTTGCGCCGTCGGCTGTTCGCCAATTTGGGCGACGGATAATTGTTTTCTCGCAGGCGAAAGTGTTGCTCAGTGCAGCATGCGACATGCTCTCAGTCTCTGGTTTGTTGACCGACCAAGCAAACCGCGCTTCGAGAATACCATACATCCCATCCCATCCCATCCCATGCAAGGCCCACTGCCCCACCCAAGTCCCGAACCGCGCATTGGGAATTTCGTTGTGCGGGTGATGCTGGAGGCGCGAGGCTATACCCCTGATCTTGGTTTTTGACCGGCTCCAGCAAAAACGCCTGTGAAGTTCCTGCAAACCTTGGCATTCAAATAGCCATGGCTGTTTTATTTATTATCATTCAACTAAGATCAGAAGTCCTCAACCTCTTTTGAACTCTCAGCTCCATTCGAATTCAGCACCGCACAACTCTGCTGCTGCAGCTTCTTACCACGTGCTCTTTTCGTGATCGTTAGTTCGCCCTTTCCTCTTCGACGAACTTCGCAGTCGTCGCCATGGCCAGGTCGCTATCGTTCGCTCTTTTGGCTCTCCTCATCGTCGGTGTGGTTGTTCCCCTGGCGACAGCGCAGAAGGTGTCGCTGTACGAGAAGAACCTGAACGACGCAATCGCTGTCGTCAAGGCGAAACCTGGTTACAAGGCCTTCGCCTCGCTCGTCGGCGCAATTCGTAAGTCCCTCCTCCTACACCAGACCCGCATCGATTACCCTAGCTGCTCAGCGACCATTCTTACCGATCTGTCATTCCTGTCCCCCTTTTCCTGCTTCCATTCGTATCGTCAAGCAGTCTCAGCTGAAGAAACTCCTGCTGCACAAACTGACGATCTTCGTTCTGAGGCGCCCTCACCGATCTCAACCTCTCTCCCACTCGTCTCCCACTCGTCTCCCCCGTTCTCCCTAACCACAGTTAAGCAGTCCCAGCTGAAGAAGCTCGTCCAGCAGAATCTGACGATCTTTGTGCCCAACGACAAGGCGCTCACCGATTTCAACCTCACCCAATACGCCACGGCCGACCTCCTCAAAGTCGTCAAGTACCACGCCGTCAAGGGCGCCTACACGTTCGCGCAGCTTCAGGCGCTCGCTGCGTCCGGCGGCAAGCTCCAGACGACCCTCGGGCTGACGATTGGACTGACCAAGGCGAAGAGGGGCATCGGGATGTTCGGCATGGAGAAGATCGGCGCCGCTGTCCTCGATAAGGACATCTCCGTTAAGCCGACGGTCGTCGCGCAAGGGATCTCCCGCGTGCTCAAGCCCAAGGGTTTCGTGATCAAGGGCGCGGCGAGTTCCGGTACTCCTGCGACGACCACGCCTAAGACGAAGACTCCTGCTCCTAAGACCACCGCTCCTAAGGCGGCCTAAGACGGGTTTACTTCGGACGCTGACTGGCTCCGAGCCAGGAGACGGAGCTACTATTATACAGCAGCCAGCGCCAGCAGCCAGGGGATTCTTCTAAGATGCTACTGGGTCTGTAGAGGGCTTTATGACGGCGCATTCAGTGCCTGATCCCAGCCTCTAGGACCCTGTGGGTCTGTCTCCTACGGTGGTGTTGGCAGCAGCGGCGGTGGAGAGCTAATTTATTCCCTTCTCGGAAAACCAAAAATAAGTCTAATACGTTAGAATTAGAAACGAGGCCAGTGCGTTGTTGCACGGCCAATGACGTGTAGGCAAATGATGTTTATTATTATTTTGTTGAATCACGGTTTTCGAAATGTTAGAAACAAGCAAACACTGAATGTTGAAAGGGCATCCGATATCGCGTACAAGGAATGGCACATTCTCTAGGGACCGGTTTCAGGCCGGCTTCCATAAAATTATCTAAATGCGACGCTGCGATCTGTGCGACGTACGCGCGATGGACCCCGCGATCTTCTCTGCAGGAAGCTTGTTCGCGAACGACAGCGACGACGATTCGCCCCGTAAGGCTGGCCGCTAGTAGGACTCGTCCAACCCTAATCTCGCGAAATGCCTGTTAGTTGCACAACGCAACAAGGTAGTAACATACGGTTTTTCTGTGAGGACTACAACGAGCCTTCGCGACCCAGCATCCTGGTGTTACCTTGTAACCCTAGCCAGCTCGGATTGCTGACCCGTGGTGTAACCTCGCGGTAGCTAGCACCAACTGTTACTTGTCCCGTAGCTTGTCGCACGACGCACGTCGGGCGTCGCTTGTTCGCTTGTCGGATCGCTGTCCCCCCGCTGGCGACCGCCTATCCGTGTTAGATTCCTCTCCCCCCTCCGCTCCCCCATTCCAGGCGCTGCGCGGAAGGGGAGGGCTGGCGTCGGGGATGGCGGAGCTCGCGGGTCGGGGGGCGGGAGGGAAGGGGGTGATGGCGACGAGGGGGGAGATGACCGGGGGGACGAGGGCGCGGGGGAGGCGGGGGAGGCGGGGGAGGCGGAGGAGGGTATGGAGTATGAGGAGAGGCGGCATGGCTTCCCCGGGGGACAGGTGAGGGCGAGAGGGAGGGGTTATGCGGGGAAGGGTTTAGTGGAGGGTGGGAGGTGTTTAGTGGGGGGAAGCGGAGATGAGTGCATTGAGAGAAGAGTGGGGCAGGGGGAGGGGGAGGGGGCAGGGGGGGGGGATGGAGCATGAGGAGAGGCGGCAAGACTTCCCAGGGGGACAGGTGAGGGAGAGAGGGAGGGGTTTAGTGAGGATGAGGCGTGGACAGAAAAGAGTACGGGAGAAAGAGGGGGGAATGGAGAATGAGGAGAGGCGGCATGGCTTCCCAGGGGGACAGGTGGGGGGGAGAAGAGGAGGGGGGGGAGTGGGAGGGAGGAGGAGGGGCAGTGTGGGGGGATGGAGGAGGGGTTTTCGGGTTTCTATCCAGTCAGGGCAAGCTGGTCTGGCCATTAGTTTCTGCCCCTCTGATGATTGACTTAGACTGTTTTTCCTGTATCAGGAGCTGCTTATAAGGGAGATCTTTTTCCACCCAGTCAACGCCAACCTGCTCTAGCCTGCTGTTGCTCCTCTATACCTCCATATGACATGTCCCCACAACAGGAGCTGCTTGTAAGGGAATTCTCCTTATAAGGGAATTCTCCTTATAAGGGAATTCTCCTCCCACCCAGTCAGCGCCAACCTCCTCTGGCCTGGCACTGTTCCTGTATCCATGGTTTCTATACCTCTATAAAAACTGTTCTTCTACCAGGAGCTGCTTATAAGGGAGTTCTCCTTCCACCCAGTCAACGCCAACCTCCTCTGGCCCGGCGCTGTGTCGTTTGCTGATTGGCTCGCCGCCCGGCCACAAGTGCTAGAGGGAGCTAGAGTGCTGGAAATTGGGAGGTGAGCGGAAAAAAGGGGAAGAGGGGGAAAAGGGGGAAAGGGGGGAAAAGGGGGAACGGGGGAGTATGGGAATGAGCAACTGTGGCTCTCCTCCCGGCCTCGAGTGCTGGCTGGTGTAGAGTGCTGGAGATTGGGAGGTGAGTTATTTTGTGGAGGGAGGAGGGGGGAAGATGGTGGGGTGAGGGGAGGAGGGAGGGGGGGGGGGGGTTGCTGGAGGCATGGGGAGTGGGGGGATGAGCAACTGCGGCTCGCTGCCCGGTCGCAAGTGCAGGCTGGTGCTAGGGTGCTGGAGGTTGGGACGTGATGCTTCCATTGAGGAGGGGGGAGAGGGGGGGGGATTTGTATGCCTTGGATCAATTCCAGCAGTTCCCTTTGTTAGAGTCACAATCTCTTCATTGTGATTTCCTTTCAACACTAATCATGTGCTAATAATCTTGTGATTATATCGAGCATGCTTGCAGTGGGACAGGAGCCCTGGCCATTTTCCTGCACAAGGCCATGGGGTGTGACGTCACCACGTGTGACTATAGCGATGCCAGCATCGCAGCCAACATCAGCCACAACTGCCTGGCCAATGGGATTGAACCACTCCAACACATTCGACGTAAGCAAGCACACCCCTTGGATAAATTGCAAGCAATCTGCTCAAAATCGGGGTAAACTCGTTCTGTTGGTTCCCGTCGTATGGAACTCGTTCTATAAGCACACCCTTTTCCCGTTGGTTCCTCCTGATTTTCTCAGCTCCTCCTTCCTTCCCTCCCTCAGTGCACCACACACTCTCAACCCCACTACCCCCCCCCCCCCCTCCACACACACACCTTCCACCCACCCCCCCCCCCCCTTTCCCTCCACAAATAACCCATACCCCACTTTCTCATTCCTCCATATGCATGCATGCAGACACATGGGGGGAACCATTTCCCATCAGAGAACCATCATGGGATGTCGTCGTTGCCAGCGACATTCTCCTATGTACGTCTCTCGTGTCATGCCAAGAACCGTTTCATTGCAAGTGTCATTTCGCATGTCATTCCAAGTTTTAACTCATGAGGTATCCATGTGACACTAGGGACTGTTCTTGGCGTTGCTATCTGTCTCGTGACTCGTCACATGTGTATCCGTGTCCTCGCCTGTTTCGTGTCCTTACAGTTTTAACCCATGCACTCTTATGCGTGCCGTCACCGTCACGTCCATGCCTACGTATCCTCACTTACCATTCGTGTGCACTGCAGATGTGAAAGAGTACCCGAACCTCGTCAAGTCCCTCCGCTTCCTCCTCTTTGGCGCCCTGGAGGCAAAGGCTACAGAGAAGGGGCTGTGCGCATGGAGGCACATGCGCTTTTCCTCTCCCCTGCCTGTCGTCTCCCCTGCCTGTCCTCTCCCCTGCCTGTCCTCTCCCCTCATGCTGCAGATGTGAAAGAGTATCCGAACCTTGTCAAGACCCTCCGCTTCCTCCTCTTTGGCGCCCTGGAGTTGTCCCAAACGACACAAGGCAAGGGCTACAGAGAAGATAAAGGTTGTAGCAAAGAAGATGATGCAAAGAAGATGAAGGACATAAAGATAAAGGGCGGAGAAGGAGAGAGGGCAGATTTCTCTCTAGCAGGAGCGCAGGCTTCGCAGGCTGTAGCTGAGACAGCAGCTGTAGCAGGGGGCGACGCAGTAGCAGGGGGCGACGCAGTAGCAGAGAGGGGTGCAGGAGAGGGGGGGTGCATTCATTTCGGGCGAACATCGGAGCATAGCAGTGATGCGATGGCGGGAAGCTCAGAGCACAAAACAAACACTGGGCTGGCTAATGACACGGCTGATGACACGGCTGCTGGCGCACCGGTGTCTGATGCAGGTGTTGCTGGCATAAAGGATGTGAGGGTGGCTGCTGGAGCCAGTGCTGACACCAGTGACACAGGGCAGAAGCAGAGGAAAGCACGTGGGCACAGCCGTGGGCAGGCAAGGCAGAGGGTGCACAATAGGGGGGGGGCAGGTGAAGGTGTGGTGTTGAGGCGGCCGTGCTTTGTGATGAGCTGGAGGAGGAGAATACCCAAGGAGGATGAGGAGGGGTTCTTTCAATTGTGTGAAGAGGCGGGGATGAGTGTAGAGGATCTGGGCAGCAGGGTGTTCTACATTGCTCCAGTTGTTCAATAATGAGTACATCTGTTTGATAATGAGTGTAGAGGCGAGGACCTGGAAGGAAACGCTTGATACATCTGTTGAGGCGGCCGTGCTTTGTGATGAGTTGGAGGCGAATCCCCAGGGGGGATGAGGAGAGGTTCTTCTGCTTGTGTAAAGAGACAGGGATGAGTGTAGAGGATCTGGGGGCAGCAGAGTGTTTTGTGTTGCAAGCTAAAGCTTAAAACCCGCGTACCAAATGTCCCAAAATTGCCTATGAGAACCACTGGACAACCGATCCCATTCTCCTATCCAACCAACCTTCCTACCATTCAACTACTTGGCACGCGGGTTTTAATACATACTAGCGTCTCGTGTTCTGCATTAACACATGGATTGATAAATAAATGGCAGAACAAGCCTGCGTCTTATTTCACAAGCCCACATAGCGAGCTTATAACGAGTCCAATCCAATCGAGCTAAGAAACAGCCAAATGCAGGCCCAATGTACCACCACGCATCAATTACCAGATTGCCTATACTAAAACTGGCCAGGCCACAGCCAGTAACGAATGGTTGTGTGCCCGTGACACGAAATTTGGGCTTGTCCAAGGACAAGTCTTGGGCTTGTCAACTCCCCCTCCCCCTCCCTCCCACGCACTGGTACTGCCCCGAGCTGTCTGCATTCAAAAACACCATCACACTCCCGCTGTGCTCCACAGCAACCCCACACTCCTGCACCCCATTTCTGCGCGTGCCGCTCTACAAACCACTCTAGAACTGTGCCCACCCATTGAACGACACTGGGGCTCTTCCCTCCTCCCCACCCTCTCCCACGCACTGGTACTGCCCCGAGCTGTCTCCATTAAGGAACCCCATTACACTCCCCCGGTGCTCCACAGCAAACCCACACTCTGCACCATCCCTCCCACAACCGGACTCACGCCTTGCGAAAACATCTGGACCCCTGGCATCCTTACTCCCAAGAGTATCCCCCCGCTGACTCTTACCACAGGCATACCCAGGGCTTCGCCTTTCAGCAGGATGGCCATCGCTTCCCTTCCCTTCCCGTGCTTCCTCTTTCGCTGGGTCTCCGTCAGATGGGATAGCAGAGTACCCATCGTTCATATAGACCCACACGGACGGCGTCTGCTCCCTGAAGAGATCTGGATCCCCCAGACTGCCATTGCTGCTGCCACCGCTTCTGCTGCTGCTGCTTGTGTGATCCGGAGAATAGAAGCGCGGGCTCAGTCCTGGCGATTCGCCAGGTGACATGCCGCTTTGGGTGGAGCGACTCTCTTGGCTCATGGTTCCTCCTGACCCGTCCGCATGTCCGTCGCAAGAATAGAGAGAACCAGTGCCTGGTGACGAGGATGCTTGTAACGAGGTTGATATTGATGGTGCGTTGTCTGATATGATCTGCTCCACCGCCTCGTATACCTGCTCGGAAACAGGGAGCACGGCAGGAAGTAAGGGGAGAAATGCAACAGCCTTCAAGACGTGCTGTCTCGATCACAACAAGACAATGCGTTGTCTGATATGATCTGCTCCACCGCCTCGTATACCTGCCCAGAATCAGGGAGCACAGCAGGTAGCACAACAAGGAGAAGAAAAAAGAAGGTTCGATGAATGGTCAATATGCAGCATAGGTCGCAAAGAAGCAGGGTATTAATAACTAGTATCCAGGTGACTTTTGAGTCGACTCAAAAGCCAACAGGTCGCAAAGAAGCAGGGTAACAATAACTAGCATCCAGGAGCAGCAGGAGCAGTAGCACCAGCAGCGACACCAGCAACAGGCTGTGTAACAAATCACACGCTGCAAGAAAACGCCACAAGAAAACGCCTTGCCTTGCCACCGTGCAATGCATTAGCCTCAAATGCCTAGAGCCTAGTGCCACCACCCTTGGCAAACAACCAGGGGTGTTCTATACGTGACGGGTGGCAACAACTAGCGACAAAGCATGTATTTTTCAGGCGCCTAGAAAATAGCATGCTCTTTTTGGATGTCTAAAAAACAGCATGTAATTTTCAGGCGCCTCAAAAAAAGCATGTTCTTTTTAGGCGTCTAAAATACAGCATGCATTTTTTAGGCGCCTCAAAAATAGACTTGGCAAATAACTAGGGGTGCTCTATACGTGACAGGTGGCAACAACTAGCGACAAAGCATGTAAGAGTGACTCGTCAGGGGAGAGAGGAGAAGAGTGGGTGAGTGAGCGAGTGAATGAGGAGTGAGCGAGTGAGCGAGGAGTGAGTAAGTGAATTAGGAGTGAGCAAGTGAGCGAGGAGTGAGTAAGTGAATGAGGAGTGAGTAAGTGAATGAGGAGTGAGTAAGTGAATGACGAGTGAGCGAGTGAGTGAGGAGTGAGTAAGTGAATGAGGAGTGAACGAGTGAGTGAGGAGTGAGTAAGTGAATGAGTGAGCGAGTGAGTGAGGAGCGAGTAAGTGAATGAGGAGTGAGCGAGTGAGTGAGGAGTGAGTAAGTGAATTAGGAGTGAGCAAGTGAGCAAGGAGTGAGTAAGTGAATGAGGAGTGAGTAAGTGAATAAGGAGTGAGTAAGTGAATGAGGAGTGAGCGAGTGAGTGAGGAGTGAGTAAGTGAATGAGGAGTGAACGAGTGAGGAGTGAGTAAGTGAACGAGTGAGCGAGTGAGTGAGGAGCGAGTAAGTGAATGAGGAGTGAGCGAGTGAGCGAGGAGTGAGTAAGTGAATAAGGAGTGAGTAAGTGAATGAGGAGTGAGTAAGTGAATGAGGAGTGAGTAAGTGAATGAGGAGTGAGCGAGTGAGTGAGGAGTGAGTAAGTGAATGAGGAGTGAACGAGTGAGTGAGGAGTGAGTAAGTGAATGAGGAGAGAGCAAGTGAGTGAGGAGTGAGTAAGTGAATTAGGAGTGAGCAAGTGAGCGAGGAGTGAGTAAGTGAATGAGGAGTGAGCGAGTGAGTGAAGAGTGAGTAAGTGAATGAGGAGTGAGCGAGTGAGTGAGGAGTGAGTAAGTGAATGAGGAGTGAGCGAGTGAGTGAGTAAGTGAATGAGGGAGGAGTGAATGAGGGAGTGGATGAGGAGGGAACTAGTGGGGGCTTACCATGCAGATGTAACGCATTCTATCCTGTGTCATGTACAACGTACCTTGGAGACGTCACGCATTCTGTCCTGTGTCATATACAACGTACCATGCAGATGTAACGCATTCTGTCCTGTGTCATGTGCCGCCCGCACGCATGCAGGATGTACTTCACTGAATCGTCCAATTGCGCCCTGCTGCTGCCCTGCAGGGAGGGAGCCGCTTGGAGAGCCGCAGAGCACCCCACAGCGACCTGGAAGGCGGACAATATGGCAGAGTAAGATAAATACAATCGTGCAACTGGGCCCTGCTGCCTTGCTACCTAACTGCCTAGCTGCCTTGCTGCCTCAATTGTTCAAAACAGACAGGCCATTTGCAACAGGGAAAAAGTGCCCAGACTCGGGAAATGAGAGTCTAGAAAGCGTGTTGGAGCTTACAAGGCAGGTGAGAAGTTGAATGAAGAGCTGAGAGAAGCTGATACCCTCCAGGTACTGCAAGCTCGTTGCTCTGTTTTCCGTCGAAGAAAAACAAGGCGCCAAAGACGGCACCCTAGGAAGGCACCAAAGGAAGGCACTGTATGAGAACCCATAGACTCACCAGGCACGTGAAGAGCTGAATGAAGAGCTCAGACGGGGTGATGCCCTCCAGATACTCCAAGCTCGTTCGTTGCCCCGCTGCCGTTGATAGAAAATAAGGCTGCAACTGAAGGCACCCGTAGACTCACCAGGCACGTGAAGAGCTGAATGAAGAGCTCAGACGGGGTGATGCCCTCCAGATACTCCAAGCTCGTTCGTTGCCCCGCTGCCGTTGATAGAAAATAAGGCTGCAACTGAAGGCACCCGTAGACTCACCAGGCACGTGAAAAGCTGAATGAAGAGCTCAGACGGGGTGATGCCCTCCAGATACTCCAAGCTCGTTGCTCTGTTGGCGTAGAGAGGAAAGGCATGCGAACAAGAGAGGGTTTGAGAATAATAATGAAGAGGCTGCTTGCTGTGTGAATTGTGTGTTTGCCACTTGACAGGCCATGGACATGCCATTTGACATGCATATCAGCATGTCCGTTTATGGTAAAGTGAGATGAGATATGAAAAGGGTTTTCGCTGGCGCAAGAAAGCACTGACCCGGCCGCGCATTCGTCGAAGAGAGGGGGCTGCAGGAGGGCTGGCACGGGCTTGGCCTCGCTCCAGTACATCCTCCACTGGTTGTCTGCGGGACAGAACAGAGAGATGCAAATGCGTGAGTGAGTAGTCTGCACTGCACACGTGCAACAGGACTGCTGGGTAACATCCTCGCTCCACTACAGTCTCCACTGGTTGTCTGCACACTAAGATCAAAACGCAAGCGTTCTCTGAGTCGTTACCACAGCTACGTGAACACATGGAGTTCATAGGGGGGGTGGGCGCACCTGCACGAACACGCACGCACCTGAGCCTGACATGCGTGCACTCAGGTACCCAATCTTTCTGCGGCTGCTCTCTCCCTCTCCTCCCTGCTGCAGCTTTCCTTCAAAGTCATTACACTCGTTAGGCGTCCCCCCTCCCTCTCCTCCTCCCATTCTGCTTGAGGGGGCGTCTCTCGACCAGTCAGCAGGTGAGTACCATCGCACAAAGTCCTCCAGAATGCACCCCAGGTTGGCAGCCTGCGGGAGAAAGAGGGTGGGTGGGGAGAGGACGAGAGGTGAGAGGGGGAGTGGATGGAGGGTGAGTGGTGGGCAGTCAGCAGGCGAGTATTATCGCACAAAGTCCTCCAGAATGCACCCTGGGCCGGCAGCCTGCGAAGCAAGATAGTGCCCCTTCTTACATCCCTAGTTCAAAGAGAGAAAATGCTGAAACATTGCCAAAAAACCGCTGCAAGCAAAGGTTCCTACGAAGAGGGCATGGACTATTCAGCTGCCCTTGTTTCAGCCAGTGAGCCCAAGGTTCTCACCTTGAAGGCCTGCATGTCCGAAATGAGCGTCTTGTGCGCGACGTTGAGGCTGCATGGTTAAGACATACATACCACTGCACGGTTTCACACAATATGGGGGTCGAGCACGCTGAGTCGTACCTTGAAGGCCTGCATGTCCGAAAAGAGCCTCTTGTGCGCGATGTTGAGGCTGCATGGTTCAAGCAGCATAGAGACAGTCATGCAGCAAGGTCACTGGCGTTAGAACAGACATGCATGGGGAAACGAGGGCATGGTCACATGCACGGCGGCTGAGAAGAGCCTCTTGTGCGCAATGTTCTTGGTTCCGGAATAGCGACAGACACGCAGGCAACAACACAGGCTAGCATCAGCCTGTATTGTTGGGAAACAACAGTGACAGACACGCAGGCAACAACACATGCTAGCATCGATCGATACTACCTGGACAAAGAGTTTCCCATAGTCTCACGGTGGCACAACCACACCAGCACCCAGTGCACCACCCCACAGTCCCCCAGTGCCTCTGCTTACCTGCCGGTGCTGATAACCGCCTCTTGCAGCTCTGCCAGGTAGTCGCTGGTCATCAGCAGCCCGTCCTGCACCTCCCTGTCACCACCAGCAGCATCTCTTACCCTCTAATCACCGCAGTCTCCCAGTGCATACCTGCCGGTGCTGATAACCGCCTCTTGCAGCTCTGCCAGGTAATCGCTGGTCATCAGCGGCCCGTCCTGCACCTCCGGCACACGCATGCGCGCCCCTGTCGCCAGCAGACGCAGCCCTCCTGGCTTCTCGTCTCCACAATCCTGCCCAAGCGTCGCACTGCTCCCATCGGCGTTTTGGTCTTCGCAGCCTGGTCTGGGTTGCGGTATCATCCGCCCCGGCTGCGGCATCATCTGCCCTGTCGCAGTCTCAGCTGGATCCGGGAAGCAGGCCCATGATCCGTCCTGCTCGCTCGAAACGGGTCTGCTCGGCTCAGCCAACACAAATCCGGCAGGTGGTAACTTCAGAACCTCGCACAGATTATAACTGCCGCAGGTCTTGCAGAGAGTCGGCTCGAACGTTCCAAAGTCACGCACGGTTGGCTCTGGGCGGAAGCACTCCACGTGCTGCAGGTGCTTCTGGATGTCGCTGCTGATGCGCGCCTTCTTCCACCTCTTCCTCGCGATGGCGCAGTTGAGCACCTGAGGGAGTGGTGGTCAGAGAGACGGGGGTCAACTTCAGAGGCACCTCAGAGAGAGGGGGGTCAACTAGATTCCCTGCCTTCTTCCATTTCTTCCTCACGATTGCGCAGTTGAGCACCTGCAAATGGTGAGAGGAAGTGCGGCGCCGCCCAGTCACACTTCACATAGTTGACTACCAAAAAAACAGCAGCAGCGTTAAACAAAGAAACACAGTTGAGCACCTGCAAGTGCTGTGTCACCTGCAGGTGCTCTATCACCTGAAAACGTTTTATCACCTGCAGGTGCTCTATCACCTGCAAACGCTTTATCACCTGCAGGTGCTCTATCACCTGAAAACGCTTTATCACCTGCAGGTGCTCTATCACCTGCAAACGCTTATCACCTGCAGGTGCTGCATCACGCCGCACAGGTCCAGATCCGGCCCCTCCCTCTCCGCCCTCACATACGGGATGGCAATCCCCTCCTCCCAGCGGTCGTGAACCTGCCACGTGGTGCAATGTGTGGGGATGGGATTGGCGAGGCATTAGAAGGCACAAGCGAAACCGCCCCTCCCTTTCCTCCCTCACGTACGGGATGGCTATTCCCTCCTCCCTGCGGCCCCGAAACTGCCACATGGCGCAATGTATGAGAGCATATGGTTCAGAACCCTTTAGTGTACAGCACCTGCAAGTGCCGTACCCTTTGTTTGCACCAAAATCCTTGATTTTGCAGGGTGTTTTTGAGAATTCTAAAAAACACTTTGCACCAAAATCTTCAAGTACGAACGGTCCCAGCCAGCCATCAGCTCCCCCAGGCGACTTCTGAGTCGACTCAGAAGTCACACGCCCACACGAGCAGTACGCACCTCTTGCATGACTTCCAGCCACAGCCGGGCCATCTCCTCAGGAGACCCAATCCCCGCTATCAGCTTCCCCACGCGCACTGCCAAGCTCCCAGCAGGGGCTCCAATTTTAGAGAATGTATAGCCCTACCCTCCCATGCGTACCTCTTGCATCACTTCCAGCCACAGTCGTGCCATCTCCTCTGGAGACCCAATCCCCGCCATCAGCTCCCCCAGGCGCACTGCCAAGCTCCCAGCAGGCGCTCCATGCAGGGAATTCAGCACCCTTTGGAACGATCCAGATGGTGAACCAGACGCCGTTGATGGCGATCCAGGCTGCACTGTCGACGGTCCAGATCTCTTGGTAGTGATCTCGCGAAGGGGAGGGAGGGAGATCAGATCGAGGTCCAGGTCGGTGTCCTGGCAGCAGCAGCCATGGCAGCTTATTGGGGAGCCGTTGGATGAGGAGACATGGGAGCCGTTGGATGAGGAGTAGTGGGTGATGTTGGGGGAGAAGTTGGTGAGGGCTCGCCAGCAGCCACAAGTGAATGCATCCATTTCCCCTGCTACCAGAATGAGACAACAGACGCCAGGACGAAGCAAATAGACGTTAATTACGTGTGAATTGACACGAATGAATCCATTTCCCCTGCTACCAGAATGAAAGAGCAGACAAAAGAGACACGAGCAATGGCGTTTATTATGCCATTTCTCGGCCTGTGGTCAAAGCTCATTGGAAGTAACCTCCTTAGGAAAAACAGGAGGACAAAGACGAAAGATGGCTCGTTGGCTCGTTGGCAAGGCACCTGATTTGAGGAGCATTCGGATAGCATCCTTGCTAGAGCAATCGGAGAGGATCAAAGCTCCTCCGGAGTAACAACAGGTGGATACGGAACAAGAAATGGCTTGTTGGCAAGGCACCTGATTTGAAGAGCATCCGGACGGCATCCTCGCTAGAGCAATCTGAGAGGGTGGCTTCTTGTGGAGGTGATTCCAGTGTGGTGGCTACAGGGAGCCATGAGGAGCCATTCAGGGTCTTCTCCACAGCACGGAATAACACGCCAGAGGGGGAATAGATACTGTCGGCTAGCTCCTTCACGGATGTGTATTGTTCCGCGTCACTGTAGGAAAAGAAAGGAAGAAAACAACAACAACAACAGTACAGCACAATCAATTCAAACGATGTAATCGCCCAAGAAAACCAGCAGTCGGGACGAGATAACATCAGCAAACGCACCAGACGGCGTTTGCCAGGTTTCGCAGGAGAAAGGCCTTCGGCGCGCTGCTGTCCTCATTTCCGAAAATGCTGTTTTTCTTGAGAGCGTACTGCAGCGCGTGACTAGCAGACCTTATCTGCCGTTCCTGCATGGCCAAATCTCGCATTACACATCTTAAATTCCTTGAAAAAAAAGGGAAAAAAAGGGGGAAAAAAACGACTCCTGGCAGCACGAAAGTGGATGTAGTATTTTCCTGTAGGGTAACGGCTTACCATCTGATCGGACGTCCATCCTGGGTAGCGTTCAATGACATCAACGGTTCTGAAGTACCGCTTCCAGAACTCCTCGTGGCTGAGCATCGCTGGGACGAATTCCGCGTGAATCTTCAGCAGCTCGTCGTCTCTCTGCATCACCAGAAACACCACCAGCTCCATCCATGGTTGGAAGTTCCAACCAACACGGAAGTTCCATTCGTTTCGTGCCTGACCGGGAAACCAACGAACGATGCGAGCAAGCCTAAACGAGTTCGTCAAGTGGACGGAGAAGCTCTCCGGCGTACCTGTAAGGCGAGTTCAACGGCCGAATCAGACGGCATGTTCTCCATTGTCCAGCCGTCGTCGGTGCACCAAAGGAAGTCCAACGGCCACTGCGAGCGAAACCACGGGATCGAGACTCGATACAACATTGTAAAGAGAGAATCATTTCAAAAGAACTGGAAACGAGAGAACTCGTAACGAGAGAGCGACATTCGTGAGTTGTCGAGGAAATACCTTCGAGAGGTCCGACAACCGGGGGTCCATATTCTATCTGTATGGATAAGTAGACGAAAGTTTCACGAAAAGGTTACGGCACCGAAGGTTCTGTTGACACTCTCCGCTTGGACAAAGCTGAACAAAGCTGGTCGCCTCCTACCACCATTCAAGGAGCTGTGCTTTCGGTTTCGAGAACCACCGCGACGGACGAAGCCTTCAAGGACTCGCGAGACTCGGTCAGGTAGCTGAACGGATAAGCTAGAACCGGATTCCTCAACTACGGAAGCAGCAAGCAGAGTAGCTCCAGAGCAAATTGTCACACAGCTCCACGGACCGAGAATCAACACACAACCAAATAGAACCCAAAATCAGGTCGTCACAACCGTGGGGACGACGGCCCTGTGAGCACAGCAAGAAGGGCGTCGCCATGCTCATCGCTCGATCAGGAGGACGCGACCGCGAGCCACGTTGACTCTCCAGAGCTCAGGAGCACCAATAATTGTGACTGGAAGTACCTGCTAGACTGAAGCCATCTGAGGCTGGATTCCTGGGCACACCATCTGAAATCGCACGGGATGGGATTGGAGGGAATGGGATGAGATGGAATGGGTAATAATGAGGTATTATCGGGTGGAATGCGATGGGAGGGTGGGGCACGATAATAGCCGCAGCGGTTCAGCTGAAGCGCGGGGAAGGCTTCAATGGCGGGGAAGCGCAAACGGATCTACGCGCGGATGCGGGAAAATCATGCTGGGCGGAGCTTGGGATTGCCACCCCGCGGGTTTCCCCAAGAAGCCTGACAAAAACGCCCAGGCGATGTGGCGCTGTTCGCGTTGCGTTCCGCGAATCACTTTCCTTCGCCAACGAAAAGTCCATTGGAGAATTGCTGAGGTCAGCAGCCCAGTGTGCGTCAGGAGTGGCTGGCTGCCGCATGTTGCGGTCGAGTCTCGGCTTTGCTTTCAATTCATTCAGACACTCAGTATACGCAATTGTTACGTCTCGGCTTACAATGAAAAACAAGCCACTTCAAACTAGACAATCACCTCTTCATTCCAAAAACAATGCGTGCATACTCCTCGTGCGAGCAACCGAGTGCACGTTATTGGGGATCAAGCTAGAATTGCATTTTTCACAAAATTAAAACTATTATGTGCTTTAAAAGCAACCGAGTTAGAAGCATACAGTAGCAGCTTCTCTATGTGAACTAACAGAAGGAACTGCAGAGGAAGGCATAGCAGCTAGGCCCAGAAGTAGCAGCATAACCACAAGTGGCAGCAGCAAAATAGCACTCGGAGGTGCTCCAAGGTCAGGCAGCAGCATTGGCACCACCAGCAACAGGAGGAGAAGCACACTGAACGCCACTTTGGCCTGCCACGTCAAAGCTGGTGCAGTACCCTTGGCCTCTTTGGCAGAAACACCCTCTGCTGCCAGACAACTTGCTCGCCCCGTTTGTGTAACAGTACCTTGTCTGCGCTCGTTAAAACCACAAAGGCCCCTCGCGCGATTGACGCCGCCTCTAGTTTCGCGCAGCACAGCATGATGCGACCCGACGGCGGCCAATGGGAGTTCAGCAGGTGTGTCCATATGCTCGGGATGATAATATCGGCTGCTCATAAAGCTCCTTTCGGCTACAGTGTTTCGCGGCTGAGCCGAAGGATGACCAGAGGCTCCAGGTGACCAAGGTGGCCGTTGCGTTGTAGCCCTAGAAGCATCAGTTTGCGGACTCCCGACGTGGCGGGGAAATGTGGCGGGAACGTGACGGGTCGACGAAGATTCACGGGAAGGAACTCGGGAAATGCTGGAAGCAGGAGAGCGAGATTGCGAGCGGCTACGCGCGGGAGGCGGACTCGACCAGTTGCCACGGCTGCCGTCACTCAGCCGTTGCGTTTTTTCCTCCATCGGATTTCTTACGACGGGCTGGTATCGCGACGGATAGCTAGTAGCAGACGCTTTGTTGTCAAACATTGGGACGGTAACAACGGCGTGGAGGGAGACCTGAGTCTATGATAACTCTTGAGGAATAATGTTGATCCTCGAAGGAGGGGTCCTTGTTGATTTTGCCCTGATCATTGGACAGAGAAGAGAGTTTCACTCTCCCAAGGCGTGGAGGGCTCTCAGCCAACGGAGATCCTACAGGCAGTTGGGGGTGTGAGTGTGTGAGGTGGGGCACTGGACTGGACAGCTTTGAGAGACAGCCAGCTCCTCGGACGGAAATCAGGATTCACAACAGACGCACGCACGAACAAAATCTGGACCTGGTTGGTTCGGATCTAGCAGCGACGGTGGAGATGGGATTTGGGTGCTCCCTGTCGGTCGCGAAAAAAAAAGGGCATAGAGGCCAACGCAAGAGGGGCTGCACGGAACCGCACACCGTCCACGCTTGTTTTCCCCAATCTCGCCCAGCAGCTCACAAAGCGGACTGTCGGTGGTTGGGGTTCGAAAACAGGTCGCCCCTTGATGACCTGATTGTCAGGATCCGAACTGAACCTAGAGATTCCTGCAAATTGGAGCCCAGGGCACCTTCAAAGGAAAAGTGGGAGGGGCAGTTGGTGGTTGGGTCTGCATCATGCCAAACAAAGCCAATCGCCCGAAGCTCTGCCATGCCTGCATACCGGTCTGGGAAGAAAAGGCTCTGGAAACTCGCCAACAGAGCGGCCCAATAACAGGAGGTCTGGTGAAAATCACACGTGAGGTTCAGCGAAGGCCAGTTTCAGCCGTCCCCATGCCTCGCCAGCAAAGCGAGGGTTAGGGTGGGCCCAGCAAGGCGAAGGAAAAGTGATGGCAGCCGTTGGATTTCGGATTTACACCAACAGGTCGCAATCTCATATCCACAAAGGAGCTTATAGAAAATTCATTTTTGTACAAGAATACTTCATTTCAACCAAAAAATACAGCCCATAAATTGGCAAGGGCAACTATGCCAAATCAATAAATTCATTTCTACTTCAAATGTGACAAATACATGTGCGATTTGCTTGTATATGATGAAATTACGTCGAAAGAGCTTCACCCGCTAATTTTTTTTTGGCAATACCTCAACGTACAAGAAAATCACAGTGATGATGTTCAAGTTGTCAATTTATACATATATTGTTATGTAGATGTTATAGGCTAGATAGGGTATGTTCTTAGTGGGTACAACCCAAACGCTATATCTCCCCTGTTCTCCCTTCTATTAATTCTTTCTAGTCTTTACATGATATCACGAGTAGGTAGGTCCACCCACTCGCTTCCGCCCCGTGCCGCCACCTACCGGATCCTCGTGCCCCTAGCTGGCCCCGCGCGTCCCTACGGACCCATCGCGCCCCTACGGCCCCGTCGCATCCCTAGCAGGCCCTGTAGCGCCCATACGACCCCTCTCGCGCCCCTACCGCCCTATCGCACCCATCCGGCCTCATCGCGCCCCTAGCCGGCCCCTGTCGCGCCCCTACCGGCCCTGTCACGCTCCTACGGCCCTGTCGCGTCCCTAGCCGGCCCCGTCGCGCCCCTACCCGGCCCCGTGCGCCCCTAGCTGGCCCCGCGCGCCAAGACGTCCCCTCGCGCCCCTAGCCGGCCCAGTCGCGCCTCCTACTGGCCCCTCGCGCCCCTAGCCGGCCCCGTCGCGCCCCTATGCCCCTTCGTGCTCCTATCGCCCCCCCCCGCGTCCGTAGTCGGCCCCGCGCGCCCTTGACGGCCCCTTGTGCCCTAGCCGGCCCCTTGTGCCCTAGCCGGCCCCTTGAGCCGCCGAGCCACCGAGCACCCGCGCCGCCGAGCCGCTGAGCCGCCGTGCCGCCATGTCCCTGAACCGCCGAGTCGCTGCGCCGCTGAGCCGCTGTGCTGCTGTCACACCGTGCGATGGCGGACGCCGTTCTTCGCTTGGACACTGAGGGGCACGCGATCCACTTCGTCGCCTGGCTCGTCGACCTCCGCCGGCCCCTGACAAAGTCAGCACCAGGATGGGCACTCCCTGGCTATGCAAGTTGATGGTTTGCTTCCCCGCCCCCCTGCGCATGATCCCCTCCTTGCTGACCCTACCACGGCTGAGAGTGAGGCTTTTGCTGCTGCCGCGATTGCTCGAGCTGTCTGGGATTCTCGCGACGTAATAGCCATGCCCTCCCCTTGTCTGAGCGTCCGCGCTTTACCGCCGTCGCGAAGCCAATGAATTTCTCGCTGCAATAATTGAGCATTACTCCACACCTGCTTCCGCCTCTACTGGCCGCTTGATCCTACCCATGCTCTTCCCTGAACTTTCTGCTTTCCCCACGGTAGCTGACATCGCTAATCACCTCCGTGCACTAGAGACCAGCTACCGTGCTGCTAGCTCTGCCGCCCAGCTTACTGCCTTCCCCCCACCTTTCTGCGCTACCCTGTACCTCATCCTCATGCGACTGCCTGACCGCTTAGCCACTGCCCGCGACCACTTCCTTAGTCAGCACCCTGCCAACCTCACCCTGACCGTCTTTGTCACCACTCTGTCTGAGATAGAGACTCGCCAGCGCACTATTGCTCAGTCGAGCGGTGTTGGGGCAGTTCCTATCTTTTAGGGCTGTGCCCTCTCCCAATGCACGTACGCTGACATCTCCGCCGCAGTTGCCATGACTACGCCTGCACCTGAGACAGCAGCTACGGCGTACCCGCAGCAGCCCTAGCACCGGGACTTCCGTGGCCCCGAGGGAGGACGTGGAGGTGGCGCTAGTGGTGGTGGTGGCGGGGACAGTGGTTCTGACGAGGGGATTGATGTTGGTGCTTAAGAGCAGCAGCAGTCGCTGCAGCCGCAGCCGCCACAGTCGCAGCCGCCGCAGCAGCAGCAGCCGCAGCTGCACCAGCAGCAGCCGTAGGCTCGTCTCCCGCCCGGGTGGCAAGGAGACCCTGGCGGTGGTGGTCGTGGTGGTGGCCCTCGCAGCTCGGCGTCCACCGGCAGCTTCGGTGCTGTGAGCTGCCAGTACCAGCTTCAGACCGGGCCCCTGCGTGGAACGGTGTGCCGCCGCCCGCACCCCACCGCCCGCTGCTTCCGCCGCCTCGACGACCTCTTCCGTCGCCGCTTTGGTCCCGCCCCGGACCTCCCTGACTGGCCCAGCCTGCTACGCCACGGTGTTCCTGTGTTTGACCTAGACATGGATTAGATGAACTCTGCCTTGCATTCTCTCTATGCTGACGCTTCGAGTGTTTCCGGATCTCATTACTCTGTGTTCTCTAGCTTAGGCATAGCACCTGTATATAGTTCAGACTCCCCTGCTGCATCAGGCGTAGGACAGCTTGCTTTGTCTAGCCTAGGCTCTACCCTTGCTCCTCCGTCGTCGGCCACTACGGCATCGCTGTCCTTCACTCTCGACTCCGGTGCATCAGCCTGTTTCTTCCGCGACCACACCGCACTCACGCCGCTTGCTGTGCCTACCGCTGTCGCTCTTGCGGACCCCTCCTCTGGTCCTGTAGTTGCTCGTAGCTACAGTACCCTTCCCTGTCCGGCGGTTCCCTCAGGTCCCCTTACAGGCCT